TTTCATTAGACATATCCAATGTGGAAGATTGCAAAGTTCCATCTTGGGCTATGAGCGATCATTCTTTTCTTCCAGACTCACGGCCCATCTTGTCTCAGTGGGGGGATTGGGGCTGGTCCCTTTTCCACGCCTTCTTAGTAATGATCGCTCGTCTTCAATCCTCCTAGGGTGGGTCTGCTCTGCCAGATGAATCGAGTCATAAATATTTTTCTTTTAGTCAGTGGTGTGTGTATAATTAATATGAGTAGGTATATTACGTCAATATATCAGCGTAGGTAGTTCGACAGACAGGCAACCAGAGAAGAGCTGAATAAGATGAACCTTTAGCGAGTATCAAATACACGAACCTGATTTTCGTTTTGGTCATTACCGCGTAGTTATTTATTGATGCTGTTGATTAACTGAAGTGAATGAGAAGCAAATGAATGGGAGAGCAAAGATTAATAATAGGGACTAGCGAAAGAGAGACAGTCTAAATCCTGAGCCATGCTGCGTGCTATCTGATCACATTTATTCTGATGCGCACAACCAAAAGAAGAGGGACGAAGAGGCACGCTGAACAGGAGGCGAACGATATCTTCAATGCTTCTACGCTAACGCCCATTTGCATATAGGTTGTGTCCAGATAGTAATTATATGATGCGATAATAGCATACATATAATGTATTAATTAGATAGAGTGTATGGTCCTATTGATGTCAGTGGATATATGGCACGGTATGGAATGTGTGTATTACAGGAGCACTTTTTCCGAAGAAGCAAACGCTTCATTCATTATAATCAAGCTAATTCCGTTATTTTATTTATGATGATGTCTATTTGATATATAATTAATGATGTGAATATTCAACGATAATCCAGTGGCGCGGAGTGAGTGTTGTGTAACTGTACAGGTGTCGTTGGATGAATCAACATAGTCAGATGCTGTTGTGAACGTGTTAAGGAAATCACAGATCTGCAAAAAATACGTGACTCAAAAGAAGAGCAGAGAGGAGAGAATAATGTTCCGAGGTTGATTGCGAATTTCTTATGGTAACCTAGGAAAAATTGTTCTGTTGTTTCGTTGCTACTTGTTATAGTTTTCTCTTTTAGATAATAGGAAATAACGAAAAGTAAAGAAAACGAAGTGGAAAAGACTCTGTAAAGGAATTATTGGGTCTTAGAGCGCAACTCTATATTTAAGATGGAGGTTTGGAGAGAAGATTTTATTAGCTGATTGAAAGAGGATGTATTAGTGGCAAGTTTGATTGTTATTGATCGTAATGTGGGCTTGTTAGGGACATCATTAAAGGACTTTATCGTATCTAACCAGCATGAGTGTTGATGATGTAGAAGAGATTTAAATCGTGCCTCAATTGTTGGTATATTAGTGCTTGACGAGACACGAGTTATGCTAGTGGTTAGGGGTGGGTGTAGTGTGTACCGTCGAAAGCTGAAGGAGTTAAGTCGTGACTTACTTCTGTACGTGGGCATCCTAAAGTGCTGTGTGGGCCTGAGCGTAGTGCTGTAAGAATTAGTTATTGTCGATATATTCGTTATAAGTCAATTATTCTTGTTTCAGATGTAGCTGAGAGGGAAGAGAACGTTGGATAATTGTAAAAGGAGAGAACAATATCAACAAATACTGATATGATATGTAACTAAATGTGTGGGGCAAATGGCAAGGACAGCATACAGTGACAGTACTGTCCTTCTCCTAGCTCTGTTTTTGTTGTGTTAATTCTATGCAGTATTATCGGGTATAGTGCATGTTTAGATGTTACGCTACATCATATCGGTTTCGATTGTGATAGAGTTGCGATGTGGCGATAAATGTTGGACTTTTCATCTTCTTCGAATAGGTGTGGATATGTGTTTCTGTAGTCGGGAGCACGAATTGTATTATCGGTCTTAACAGGAATTGTGGGGACTTGGAACTATTAAATGAATGGCTGATGGCCCAGTCAGAATGTGCCTGTAGAGATTATCTTAACTTATGCATGTGTCTGCTATGTAATAGTTTGAAAGTGATCATTTTTCTTACTATTAATTGGCAAAAGGATGAGTTGAAGATGTTTTGTCTGACAATAAGCTACTTCACCACGGGTATGTCATAGAATGATATCGGCTGAGGAGATGTGTGAGCAGAGATTTGGACACGTTCGTTGATCTTGATCTTCGTCTTCTTCTACCTAATTATAATAACATGGGAATTCTTAAATCCAACGGACAATTGTATAGATAGAACTGAATTGCAGTGAAATGCTCAATAAGCATGGATTGCAATCGAGAATTTAGATTAGACGCGAATCAGTTCAATGAACATAATAATTATCAGAGAGCACAGCCACAAACGCACGTCCGCATAGAGGATTAAGGTACGTTAAATTTGAGTAAATGGATTTTTAATAGATTAAAAAATTCCTTCTGTGACAACAAATAAGTTAGTCATTAGAGAGCGAATTTCCGAAATGGTCCATTAGTATTATAGCAGTAGAAAAGGAGTGTAAGGATCACGGATGAGAAAATTAAATAAATCAAAAATTATTTTCAATATTTGTACTACTTACATGTATTAAGAGCAATATTGATTTTCCTAGGAAATGACCTTTTTTGTAAAATCGCCAATATTATATAACTTCCAAACGCATAGCGTAAAAAGTTGATTAGCCTAGCGACCACCAAGTCTGTGAATCGACTAAATTGCCTCTTTGAAGTTTAACCATCAGGCGCTATGGACAGAGAAAAAATTTACGGGCGATGAATTTTTTTTTTTTTTTTTTTGTTGGTCTAATGTTGCATTATAGAATTTTTTTTTTTTTTTTTTTTTGTCTATTTGTATAAAAAGTCTCCTTAGCTTGAATCGAATACTCAATTTTTTATTTAAAGGACTCGAGTATTTTAACCAAATCAACTCTCCGTAATTATTTAAAATCACATTAATTATTAAAGATGATTAAAATATTATTTGAATTTATTAATAATTAATAAAAAAAATTTAAAAAATTATGATTTAAAAGAAAAATTATAATTTTTTTTTTGACATTACCATAAACATCATCTCATTCTTATCTTACTTACGGTTGGATAAAAAACTAATATGTTTTGGACGAAGAGACCTTTACGCGGTGTCTAACAATAAAATTCACCAAACACGTTTTGCAAGCTAAGCATCCAAAAAATCCTAACAACCCATATGATAATTATATATTTCAGACTTTAGAACCATCTGGATGCTCACCAACTAAGAAGGGACACCAATATTGTCATGTGCAATATAATAAGGAAGTGAGCTGTCTAGACTAATTTGAGGACATCTGTCCGATCATAGTACGTCTATGATCAATGTCGTAACACTGTAACACTTCACCATACTTAAAAAAAAAAAAAAATTCAATGTCAAAACTGTAATACTTCACCATGTAAAAAAAAAAAAAAAAAAAAATCACCATGTAAAAAAAAAAAAAACAAAAACACTTCTGCGCGCTATAGAAAATGACGTTCAAAAATAATTCGATAAATCGTTATTCTTCTATATAGTTTCTTTCATCATTCGTTATGAATAAACTAAACAACTTATAATTATTGTTTTGTTTCTCTGTCGAATTCATCTGAATGCATCTACAGTAAATAATTTATTAAGTAATTCGATAATCTCCTCTAATAATGCCAGATTAGTGAACCATGTAAAAAAAAAAAAAAAAAAAACTTCTGCTGCGCTAAAAATAGTTCAAAAATTATTATCGAATAAATCGTTATTTTTATATAGTTTCTTTCATCATTCGTTATGATAAACTTACACTTATATTATTGTTTTGTTTCTCTGTCGAATTCATTGAAGTGCTTAATAAAATAATTTATATATTCATAATCTCCTCTAATAATCAGATTAGGAATTAGGAATGATATTGAAGTGGGCCCTCTTTCCATGGCAAGGTGGTTCTTTCTCATTTGGAAATACATGGAAGGGCACCACATTAACTATATAACCAACAGCCCACAAACACTAATCATTAATTATTCCTCTTAATTATAATTAAGCAGCTCCACAATCGAAGATTTTTTTGTCTAAATTCTTTCCATGCCTACTCTTTCCCCTTCTATAAATACCCTTGTTTCTTCTTCTAGGCTTAACTAAAGAAAATTAACACAAAAATAATATATATTTAATTAACTTCGCTAGCCATGAGGGTTATTCCATTGTTGGTCTTTCTTCTTGTTATGGCTGATTCATCTTTTGCCATGAACAAGAAAATGGTGATGACGATTGGAGATGATCTCTCGAGTCTCGCAGCCAAGTCATCGATTCCCGTACGAAGAATGGAAAATGAGAAGTTAGAAATGAAGGAAAATGAGAAGTTAGAAGTGAAGGAAAATTCTTTGGACACGAATCTTGAGCCTAATTTAAATAATCACCATAGCATTCCAAGACAATCATTTGGTGGTTATGTCAATAATCAAGATGGACATCCTTAAGCACACAAAACCCTTATTGCATATTTGGGTTTTGGAGGAATAAAAGCCTTAGATGATGTTTTTTAGTGTTTACAAAGTTCAATGAAGGCTATGTTATGTGCTTAGCTATGTAACTTAGAGTTACAAATGAGTCCAGCTGGTTTATGAGCTGTTTAAATTTAGCTTGAGAAAAGTTTAAAAAAATTTAACTTGAATCGAGCTCTAACGAGCCAAGCTTAAATTTAAATAGTTCAGATCGAAATCTCGTCAAGCGCTATCAAGCTTTTATATATACATGTATATAATATTTATTTTAAACTTGCTCGAACATCGAACCTAGAGCCGAGTTTGAACTTAAAATTTTTCGAGTTGAACTCTAGTCTCAAGCCGAGCTCGAGCTTAGAATTTTTGGGCTCGTCAAGTTTCAAGTCTAGCAAGTTCGAGCTCGGCTCGGCTCGTTTACAACCCCTAATGAAGGTTATTAACTTGTAGTGTATCGTGTATGCAGCTTGTGAGATGCTGCTGAAAGTGTATTAAAACATATGTTGAAGATGTGATGCAAACTATCAGAGCAAAAGTAATATATATAGGTGCAATTTCTGAGTAAGGAAACCCTAAGCCATGTTTTCTCAAAAAGCTCAAACAAAATGGATAGACACTAGTTCAGCTTTCCATTTCATTAACAAAATTCAATCAGGAAAATACATATTCACTTTACCAGAAATAACTCTTCAGTTCGTAATTTTCAGCGGTTCAAATTCCAAGATTCTCCCCTCTATGACTCTCCATGTATGTGCTAATAGAAATAATCAAACCAAAATTTATATGCAGGTAGAAAAAGCTTCACGTTTAGACATTCAGGGAAACTGAATATCACACAGTTTCCCTCAATCCTATCCTGCAAAAAGGCGATTGTTCGTTAGTAACAAAACATTAGGACCTGGCATTGTTCAAGCATTGAATGGAAATACATTCGCAAATCATCATTCTTCTCTTTTTGCTGCACATGCTAAACCATTTGAGATTCAGCGGAGGCATTGACTACGACCACCTACATTTAAACCAGGAAACATTGTAAGGAGTAAGGACTCAAATGCAGAAATCAAGCACATGAACAATAATCTTAGACTGAATAGGCTGGAGAGGAGAAGGGAGGAGAAAACATATTAATCTACAAACAATAACTTCTACGAGCACTAGACATTCATCTGACACAGCACCTGAGAAGAAGAGAGTAACAAGAAGAAACAAAGAAGGAATCTTGAAACCCCCTGTAACACTATTTGTACATGCATATTAAGAATGCTCACATTTAGCAGGCTTTCACTCTTATTCATAGAAAGAACCAAGGAACTTCCTAAGGTATTAATAATGAAAGAATTGTAAATTCTTTAGCTAAGAAAAATCGGTATTTACCTTATACTAGCCCAATCTAATGGACAAGAAGCAATCTCAAAGGTGCAGCAGGTGAACCAAACAATCATGACAAAGTCGGTATATGCTTCAACTTGTTGTACGCAGACCAAGTCCTTTATCCATCCAACCCAAGCAGGATTGTCACAAGAGGTCTATTTAATGGCAGCAGAAGAAACTGAGGCTGCTGCAGCCTCTGCAATCAAGGAAATTGGTTGTCGAGCCTGCAGGCAAGCACCTATATCAAAGGGGTGCAGTTCAGCACCATCAAAAATAAGATTGACACCTGGAAGAATTGCTTCTTTACTATCAACTTCATCGGGATCAGCTTTCATAGGATTCACCAATGGAGAAGAATTTTCATCAATAGGCCTTGTGACAGCCTCATATACGGGAGTCAGAGCATATGATCTGAACCACATTGAAAAAAATTTGAATTCATAAGGTTCCTAACTTGAATTAATAGAACAATAGTAGCCATAATAGCAATTAAAAAGCACGCAGACAGTTCCTGATAATTCTAACTGGTATTCTCAGCCCTCAGTTTGCACTATAAATTCCCATCAACGTTTAACCCTTTCCAATATGATCCAAACTTTAACATTTTGAGTTAAAACAGTTCAATGTTAAGCTTATATTTTCTATGCGACCTTCTTTGCACCATTCATGGTTATGCCCAGAATTCATGCCAAAATGATGCATATATCAGTTGAAGATACATTTAAGGATGAGTATACACAAAAATGATATCTAGTAGGATTGTTCAAAATTCCACCCGCACGACCCGATCTAATTTATTAGCAATTTTATTAATCTAAAAAGCTATTTATTAGCTATTCTATTTTAGTTAAGGATTGTTCAAAATAACATTCCTAATATCAAGTGAAAATGATGAGTTTGAATGTAGGAAGTATATAAGCTGACGCCATAATGAAGAGCAATTCTATACAGCTAATTAGAGGAATCACTAACTAAAGCAAACAACGCATTGATGTAGACAGACCTCAGAATGCTACCATCAAAACTCAGAACTTCAGTACGAGAACGTTGACGACTAGCAAGTTTTAATCTCTGATGCTCACTCAAGGTTCCTGAAATGGGAGAAGAGGGATCCACAAGGGGATTCCATCTTCCACTGGCATAGTTAATAAGGTTTCGAGACATGTCTCTCGATTGCTCTTTCTGGTAAAGAAGTTTCGCAGCAGGACCAGTTGCTTGATACTCTGCACAGACATCACGCAACCTTTTTCGTAGGCCTTGCATTGCTTCATGATGCCCAGTAAATGAATCTAATTGAAGCAACTCTGATGATACAATTCTTTTACATATGTTGTTACATAATTTTGGACTAAAAAGGGGCATCCCGAATTCCACGCTTAGTGGCACCCATTCATATTTCTGATCATCAGGTGCAAAGTGCTCTGATTCTCTTTCAATAAAAAGCTTCAACAATCGAACATAACCAATTGTTGACAATCCCAACTTTTTTGTCAGTTGAGTTAACAGGGAATTCAATTTCGAACTTTCATTTTCAGACAGAACTAATTCATTCTCTATGCGACCAATTGAACCATCAGCGTTGTTGAGGGGCAAAGGGACTTCCATAGTAATGATTCTTCCTGATTCATCAAGGTCATACCTACTGAGAGGCTGCACTAGCACAGCTGAGTATTTAAGAAGTGAATTTAAACAATGTAAAAGTACACTTCCCTTGACCAAATTCCCTTCAAACTTGCTTCCCAACCCTCCAATTGCAGAACCATCCCAGGACCATATAAGTGCTTTCTCACAACCAGCCAGTGGTGCAGGAAGCAAACGAAAACACTGTCCTTTCATCAGGACAACTGTCAAAGGCCCACTACCCACAGTTGAATATAGCACCAATTTCATCCATGGTGTCAAGGATGAATGGCAAGGAGGACCAAAATGGATGGGACCTTTTGGTCCAGGAAGAACTGCGGAATGAGGAAGGGGAATTATAGAAACTACAATATCATAATCACGAAGAAATAGCCTATCTAAAGTTGCCGGTGCTAAAGCAGCCAAGCTTTCACAGCGGAGAATATCCACACGATATTTCCTTCTCCTCCTTATAGTTCCTCTTCCAACATCAGACCCTTCAGCAGGAATAAGTTTCTCATCATTCTGGACATTTGAGTCTGACTTAGACACCTCGCTTAAGGGGTTACCGTCTTCTGATAAAACAACAGATGTTGCTTCACCAGTACTTCCAGAAGCACATTCAACCAAATCAGAATTATCCTGAGACATCCCTGATTTAGTAGAACGGTCAATGTCTGCTTCATCTTCATTAACAACAGAGTTTTGTGATTTATCAGTCAATGAGATGTCAGCTATCAAAGAAGTAGCCTCATCATTGCTTGAAGCGAAGGTGCCAATCTTGTTGCAAACTTCCTCCACTTTTGAATCAGTTGCAATTCCACCTGACAATAGGCATTCCAAGACACAACGGAGGCTAAAGGCATGATTAGCAAATTCCTGCAATTCTCCCTCAAATTTTGCTCCTTCTAATGTGCTCAGGTCCTTGCAAAGATCAGCAATGCTAGCATGACCCAACTTCCCAGCCTCGTACAGTGTTACAGCATGAGATTTCAAGCCTGCAAAACGTAAAAGCAAGTTAATAAAATAAGAAGCAATATTGAATTGTTGCAAATGTGACATAGGAACTATTTCACTTTCATACAGAAACTAAATGAAAATTTTGATTGCACCGCAATATGCTTCATATTTTTCTCTCTATTGGGAACACTACTAGCTGCAAGTTGCTGAAGGCACGTCTAGCCAATATGAGAATCAGACTATGTGTATGAACCCACTTGATGAGTTTCTTTGCAGTATTATAGAAAAGGCAAATGCAATATCCCCATTACCTAATTCCAACTAGAGCAATTAAAACAACTAATTTACATAGATAACTAAGCAATCAGTGAAGAGCTTTTTAGACTTTGGCCATTCAACTCATTAGGCTTTCTCAAACATGCTCTATAAAGTCAAGGGATAAGACAACTTAAAACAACAACTAAATTTCAAATATATGTCACAGAAAAGTAAGAATTGCATACACCTCGAATTGATTATCTTACTTACAGATTCGTCACAATAAACCCACAGACGAAAATAAGAGATCCTATGATACAGTTATCAAGCGTTGACGCAGCTATCTAATAATAGATCATAATTGACCAGCACCAGTTAACCCACAGCAAAACATTACTAAATAATACACAGCAGAACTAGTTTTCATGCCAGAACTTCATTTTAATCCATCATACCCACCATGATCAGCTGTAATTTAAGATCTACTTTGATTGAAATGCTAGTTACTTCTAATTTACTAATACCTTAAGCATATTATTAGCATAAAACTTAAGGCAGTTGAGTGAGTCATGGGTACCTCTTTCATGCTTTGTTTAAAATCATAAAGGGCATCAGATTCTGAAAGTACTCAAACATATTCAGAAATAAGGATGTATACATGTTTCAATATATGTGAATTGGAACATACTTGAAAAAACACAAGAAGAAAAATACACTGGAAAAGCCATCATGGCCAGGCATTAGGAGCTTGGTAGATGCCTAAAAATTCAAAAGTTAAAAGAGCAGACAGACATCAGAATCATGTGAACACTCTCCACAACGTGGCACATAATACTGAAGCAGGAATTCCCTCCTGAGCTAAGTGCAATACCAAAATGGAAAGGGGAAAAAAAAAATCAAATTTATGGTTCCACAGCCATCAGATTCCTGTGAACACTCTCAAAAGAAATTGTTCATGCCTCTCTACACTGCAGTTGGTTTATCTTTTCTTATTTTAAATTCACAAGGTAAATAGAAGGAGTGTAGAAGCAAATAGGACACCTGGTGAAACAGATCCCATCATAAGATAGGAAGTTATGTTAGCATCGACAAGAAAAGCAACACGAACATGGCTGCTAGAACGTGGCCCATAGATTTCCATTCCTGAAATATCTCCTTGCGCAGCAGCATCACCATCTGCAGACATGTTTGCGGAGCCTATACTAGCACAGGCAGCATCTTCATCATCACTGAGAGCAACTTTAAGGGAGCCTGGTATGCTTGTATCTTGAAGAACAGATCCTGGATCAATCAATTTATCTGCCCATCCTAGTCGACAAGCAAAGGATGCAGCAGCCTGCAGCTGAGAAAGGTCAGCCTGCAATGTTGTTGCCAGTTCAGCAACAGTAGCATTCTCACTTGAAACCACAAAAACTGCATAGAGTAACCTGAAAAATGGATTTTCTTTCATAAGGATCTTAGTTTCACTGCCAGTAGATAGCAACAAAATAACAAAAATGATATCTATCTTGACAGCTGCCTTACTCCTCGATAGGATCCTCATAAGACTGATCCCTATTGGAAACAAATCCTTCAAGCCTGGAAACTGAGCCATAGAAAACATTGTTAAAATGACTTTAGCAATCAAAGATGACAAGTGAAGTAAGATACATGAACCATTATCAATAACCTTATTATAAGACTAAACTTTTGACTCATGTTTTAAGAAAGCAAGAAAAAATTTGAAACAAGTTTCAGGCTTAAAACAACCATTCAAGTTCTTTTCCTCCATGGTTATCTATGAGGATCCTATCCAGAAAAAAAGTTCCAGTCTTCACGCAACTTGATATAACTATGTATTCATGCATAGAACAATCAAACATACCGCATGGCTAAATTAGGGGGTTCAATTCTGGGAACTGCTGAAAAACAAAAGGGGATTTGGTTGTCTTTCTATCCAATTCCAATCTTGGAAACTTTGAGTTTCATTTCGTGGAGCCTTGCACAATGTCCCGAAGAGACCAACATGTTAGTTTATAGGTCAAATTATTGCAATAAATGAGATCAGTTCTCAGCACTGTAAGTGATGAATCTTCCTGTGATCAAAGAATATAGTATCTGCATATGCCAGATTATTTTGGTTACAGAGCTAAGAGACTCAGGACTTGTTACTTTAGAGTCAAAGTTTGCCATGTCTATGACTTTCGGCCCACTGTTATGGTCAATCTAACACTACAGGAAGGAAAAGGGGAAAGAGAAGTAGCTTTTCTCCTTCATTCACCCATTAAGGCAAAATAAATCACGCCCCAAAATTGGGTTTAATTCCTAATTAAAAAAATAAAGAACAATATATATGGGCAGGAAAAGAAATGAGTGTATGCCGTGGAGGATAAGGAAGCCTTCTATATTACTCAAAAAGACAACTACATAAATACGAATATACACACAAGCTAAAAGAGTAATGTTCAAAGAAACCCTTCTAAAAACTCCAAAAACATAACCTATAGAAGCCAAAAACACCATGTTGTCCCACACTAAACCAAGGTTCACACTGATTTCTGAAGATTGTGCATTTCTATCCATTTAAACCATCAAAAGCCTTTAAAGATTTTTAAACAAACCCACTGCTCCTAGAAGATGCTAAAATGGCAATTCCACACAGCTCCAGCCATTTCAAAATGTTAGCATTTTTACAATTGCATCAATTTCCCTCTCCTCTTCCTCCTCTATCTAAACAAAATAAAAACACGTCTCTCCTCCCTTTCACTCCTTACCTACTTTTCTTTATCATTCCAGACAAACTGACAGTAACAATTTTCTACTTCCTTCTCTTTTTATTCCCTCCCCTCGTCCTTTTAACATCCATTCCTTTCCTTACTCATTTGCAACCATGAATAGTGTAAAGGATAAGTTTGCCAACACCCCCAGATGCTAAAATCCAATGCCTTAAAGTAAGAAAAGACAATATGAACAAAAAGATTTGAGCCAACAAAATGAGATTCCAATATAGTCTTTGGCAAACTCAAAAAAATTGGTGCATTCAGCGAATAGGTAAACAAGAAAAACCTAGAAAGCACGATTTCAAGACGATTAGGGTGTAAAATCTTACCTTTAAAACGGTCATCAGAGTAGACTGGGACATCAAAGTAGATTAGTCCCCGTCGGTAAAGACCTTTTACAATGTCAGGATCAAATAGGATAAATGCATTAGCTTCCTCTTTACAAACTTTATCTATTGTTGCCATCTCTTCTTCTGAGAGTTTCTAGAAAGGTAGGGGGAAAATGAGAAATTGCCATTAGTTGCACAAAGCATGTGTTTGTGCATCCAAATACATACATACAGACAGTACTTATATATTATATATGTTTTCTTGAGAGAAATATATATTACACACACGTATACGTGTGCTTTTGTGTGTGCAGCACGTGCATTAATGGTGCCAAAATTGCACAAGAAACCAAGGAATCACACTTTAGATTCAAAAGAAAAAAATGGCAATCTCACCTTAAATTCTTCTAAGGTAAAGTTGACAAGACAGACTCCCCACCATGGTTCAATTGCAAAGTCCACAGGTTGTGTAGGTAAAAGTTCTTTTGCAATTGACTTGTTCAGCTTCCACATAATTTTCTGATAGACACCAGATAAGCCAGCGGTGGGTAAGATAAACAATGAATGTTCAATATCAAATAATAGCTCGAAAAATATTAGTGAGCTAACATGAGTTCATCTGATGTTAACAATAGAGGAATGCAGCTACAAACAATTTAGCCAGATAAATTCATCTTAAGATGATGAACTTTTTGTTTGCCTCACTTGACTATGGGAACATTACGATAATGACAAGTTGCATAAGTGCACTTGATTCCTGCTGCATAAGAAATGGAACATCATTTGAAGTAAACTGTCAAAGCTGAAAATAACAGTTATTCTTATCTGTCCTCATAAGTAAAAAGCATCTGAATAAAGAGTTTGGCTCCAAACCACCACAACCCCCCCCCCCCCCCCCCCCCCCCCCCCCCCCCGATAATGGGACAAGTTTGCAAGTAAGTGCCACTTCATTCCTGCTGCATAGAATGGAACATCATTGAAGTAAACTGTTCAAAGCTGAAAATTAAAACAGTTATTTTATCTGTCCTCTATAAGTAAAAAAGCATCTGAATAAAGGAGTTTTGGCTCCAAACCACCCACAAACCCCACCCCTCACCCCACCCCATCTCCCCCCAAAAAAAAAAAAGAAAATAAAAGAAAAAAAAAACCAAATTACATTACGCATAAATATCTTTGGGTAAAGGAAAGAGGTGGCTGAGGGCATTGTGCTTTCTAAATTTTCAAAGTATTATCATTAACCCTAAAAAGTTCAAAGTTTAACAAAACCAATTCTGAGCCAAAATCAATGGCATAGGGAAATTCAATGTACAAAAGCGTATAGAATGATCCAGCAGTATTTACACGGAGTACACTGGCCATGGGCTGCCCAGCACAAGTTTCGAAGGACAGATGCGATCTGCCACGTCTGAAAATGTTACCTAGCTGGATGTGAGTACCGTTAGGAAGTGCGGCCGACGTTGGGGGTTGCATGGTATGATCAATAAATGTTGCATTTCTCCAGATTCCTGTAAAAGAGGCCGCAAGGGCGGATCTGCAGCAGAACTAAAAGATTTGCAGGGATACGTGGTGTCATATGGCGGTTGCTCTGCAAGACAATAGAGAAATAGAGTGAAGACTTCAATGGCAATAGGAATTGTCACATGATAAAGCCTCATATAATTTACAAGGCTGAGCACAAGAGTTGACAGACTATAGATGGCTGACGCAAGTTTGGGCAAACGCTATCAGATTGTACAGAGAGAAAACTATTCCCATTACCATTGTTATACATAGACCTCAAAATATCAGAAGTCACAAATAAAATATACGAAAAGGTGAATAGCCTCAATAAACACAGGCAAAACATAACTCATGCAAGCGTGATAGAAGGAAACAGCTGCAGATGATGAAAAAACCAATAAAGTAGAAAAGTACCAGAAAAAAATGTAAGGTAAAGCAGAAGCGAACGAGTCCACTGCGTATGTTCCACGTTAAAAAAAAAAAAAGAAAAAAAGAAAAAAACCAAATCATACGCATAAATATCTTTGGGTAAGGAAGAGGTGCTAGGATTGTGCTTCTAATTTTCAAGTATTATCATACCTAAAATTTCAAGTTACAAACATTCTGCAAATCAATGTGCTAGGGAATTCAAGTACAAAAGGTATATAATATCCAGATATTTACACGGATACATGCATGCTTCCACACAATTTCAAGGACAATCATCTGCACGTCTAAATGTTATCTGATTGAGTACCTTAGATCTGCACTTGTTCATTATATCAATAAATTCATTTCTCCCAATTCCTGTAAGCCGCAAGGCATCTGCAGCACTAAAATTTGGGATACTGTCATATGGTTGCTCTGCAAACAATAAGAAATATATGAGACTTCATGGAAGGAATGACATGTTAAAGCTCATTAATTACAAGCTAGCAAGAGTTGACAATATAATGGCTGACCAATTTGGCAACCTATTCAGATTTACAGAAAAAAACTATTCCATTACCATTTTTCATGACCTCAAATATCATATCACAATAATATCTGAAAGGTGATAGCCTCATAACACGGCAAACATACTCGGCAAGGTGATAGGGGAACAGCTGCAGATGATGAAACCAATAAGTAAAATGCAGAAAAAAAATTATAAAGCAAACAACAGTCCACTCTATGTTCCACTTGAATAATTGACTCTCGTGACCCTCTATGCCATGGAGGTTTATTGCATAAATTTAGAAACAATAAACCAAAACATCATCTGTGTAGAACTTTATGGAATGGGAGTAAATAACCAAACTGACCAACCAACATGCATGCTAAACTGCTAACATTGGGTCTCCAAGTCACAAAATTATGAATTTATCACAGTACACCAAAATATCCAAGAAAACTTTCCTCTTAATAGAAATTGAAAAAGATGATTAAAGAGTCATATGAATTCCAAAATCAACTACTTTCCAATTGATTATCCAAACCTGGAACTAAATTATTGCTTTAACGAATATTAAAAGGTGACTTCCCAAAGCATGAAAACCCTCCCAATCAAAGCAAGACGTATTTGTATGGATATTTTTTAAATACTTTTCTGTACAACACGCACCGCCAGATTCTTTCGCAAGTAACGCATCATCTCTTCATAATATTCACCTTCTTTGCACACTCTGCGAGCAAAACAGGTGTTCCATTGGAGTCTTTTCTTTATGCAATGTTCAATTATCCTGCATCATGGTCACCAAGCATTCAGAAGAAAGAAAAAAATAGATATCAAACCAAATTTGAGGGGAAAAGGAAAACAAATTGAAGAGAGTGCAAGAATATAAACTCAAATATCCATATCATAAATTAAACTAAAACTAAAGCTTCCGCTTGGGCGCAGAACCAAACTACGAGCAGCTTAGAAACATATCCATCTGTAACTCATATGCGGAAGATAACCAAAATGGATTGGAGTTCTCAGAAAAATATTTGAAGCTGACAAACCAAGCATCACTTTCTAAAATTATCTGAAATCGGAAAAAATAAAATTGCAGCAGTGAATAGAATCAGAATTTAGTCTGAATCCTATCAGATGCTGACAGCATAATATTTCTCTATTCTTTGTTGCATAACAACCAAGAAGCAGTACTACTTTTTCTGTTACAAATATAAAAGAAGCAAATTAAAATGCCAAAGGAAGATGCCTAGAAGAAGTGTCAGTTAAAACAAGGCCAACACAGAAATCCAATCTAACCTTCTATGCCATTCCTCTTTAGTAGTAAGAGTTGCTTGAAGCCTTTTTGGGAGATTCTCCCACGGGCATTCGTCCTTTATCGCTTTCAAAATAAGCTGTTCCTCTACTGTCACTGGAATCCGCTGCATATTATCAATCCACTCAATCTGCTCCCTATAAATAAAATAATTAAATCACAGTGAACAACTGCTTGGTTGAAAACACAAAAACCAGCCAGTTCAAGCTAAATTTATACTTCAATATATGAATCAAAACAAGTGTCAAATAATTACAGTTCAGTACTAATAAAAAGTCGTTGTCAAATCTTAATAGTTCAACTCCCCCCAAAATAAAAAATAAAAAAAATTCAGCTTAATGAAAAAATCTGAAATATTATTTGAAATAGGAAATAAAATATCTCCAAGACATTAAGCTTATAAGCAAAATTACTAAGCTTATCTTTTTAATTTTGAGCTGTAATCTGCCATATCTAACTCAAAGACATGCTTAGCTCTACAATCCAATTATGCAGCAAAAATACTATAATAAAAACTGAAACAGCAATATATAGCAACATAGCATCCTATTACGTAAATACAAAGACTTGCAAATGATATACCAAATTCAATTGTAACCAGGATTCAATTAATTTTGGTTAATTTTAAAAGATTCAATTAGTGCTGAGAGATTTACCTTCTGAACAGTTGGAGAACCACCCTCTTGGTCCACTAACTAGAGCAAAGGAACATCTAACCTATATTGACAGCAATTCAAAGTGTAGCTTCGATGCCATACTCATTAGCAGTTTGCTTGATTCAGCTTTACCATACAGAATTGGCAGCTAAAATGAGATAAACCTCTAACGTATAATTCACTGATAACAAAATAACCAGTTAAATAAATCCAATTACTCTTCCTCTTCAGGAAATGAAAAAAAAAAAAAATTCATTTTTTTCTATTTGCATTGTGAAAACAATAGAGCAAAAAAAACATAAATGCAGGTTGGAAAGAAACAGAAATAGATGTATTAGATGAAAATTAGCAGAAAAAATTAAGAATATGAAAGTTAACCTTACTGAGATCAACGCAATCTTGACAAATGGAACAAAGCCAAGCAGTTAAATAAGGATCAACTGACGTCTGAAGAAGCGCAAATTGTGGTTTTGCATCAAGGCTCGCCGGAGCTCCCCGGCGTTTAAGGTTGAGGTAGGAGGTGATTCAGTGGAATTTAGATCTTCATTTACATGAAAATGGGCTCAGTTTGATCCAGACTCTAACAATTTGTTTCGGTCAATTTGGAGGTTTATAAATTAGGTTGGACCGTTGGATTGTTCCATTCAAACATGAATTTAGTTGCTTTCTAGATTTTTTTTTTTTTGGTCCATTTGCTGATATAAATATTATTATTTAATTTTTTTTATTAAAAAAAATATTTTTCTCAAACTAATAATTTAAATTCAATCATTCGGTTTGGCGAAAAATAATGTTTTTTCTATTAGTTAATATATACGTAGATTTTTTTTTTTTTGAAAGGATATATATATATGTAGATTTGAATATATAAATATTCACCTACTGTATAATAACTTTTTTTATTAAAAAATATTTTCTTAAATTATTATAATTTAAATTCAAATGTGTTTTTCGTATGTGATGTTTGTTGAAAGGTTGAAAAATATATTATGTATATGATGAAAATGTGATCCAAAATTAGAAAAAGAGATCTATGATTTAATTTTTCCTTTCTTCCTTCAATTTTGTAAATTGTAACCCACTTCTTCAATTGAAAAAAAAAATCTTATCAATGTAATATTTAGGAATTGAGATTTTAAATTTTTGCTTTTATATTTTAATTAACAATACATATTTTTTATTTAGGGTACTAATTAATATGCTAATTTAATAATAAGGGATTTTTTAGATTAAAAAAAGTAAAATATCAAATTTATTATCTATCAATTAACAGATGATTGAATCGGTTAAAGTCAAAAGTTTAAAATATGGAACTGACACAGTTAGTAGAGTTTTATTTTAAATATTATTCTCAATTTTTTTTTTGACAATTCAAAAGTGATTTATATATTATTCATATAAAAAATAAGAATATCATCAATTAAAGTTGGAGGGACAGTACCCCACTCTAATAAATCAGTCACAAAACTAGTTGCTCCCACTCCAATAAATCAGTCACAAAACTAGTTGCTCGTGAAAGCACATGAACAACTTGATTCGCAGATTTCTTAACAAAACTAACTTTTATTGTAGCAATGCTAAACATAAGCATTTACAATTTGCAATAATATCACTTGCATAAGATAAATCAATACCATTTGTATTTAATGAGCCATTAAACAATCACTCTCTAGCAACAACACTCTATGTGAAAATCCTTCCTTCAGCCAACTAAGCACTTCCCTTATTCCAAGCAACTCAGCCATAAACGAACTGGAAACATCTCTAAACTGACAAGCCCGACCACCTAAACAAAAACCATACTCATCACGAACCAGCCACCCCACACCTACTTTATGTGTTTTCGGACTCCAGGAAGCATCTACATTGACTTTGGCAACACCCGCCAGCGACGGGCTCCACTCACCAGACACTGCTGTTGTTGCACAGATGGGCGAAACGCTACTTGCTGCTGGACTTGTTGCCAGTCCAAAAGCCCAGAGGTTGCTCGAAAGCTTAATTGCTCTACTGTCCACCATTTATCACTCCACAGCAGCCGATTCCTATTATACCAAAGTTGCCATGCTATTATAAAAACTTTAAGGAGCTGATCTTCATTAAAATTATTAAAGATGTGTTGCAACCAGTTCATAACATTCCCATTCTCATGCCACCATGCAAAACCTTCACAGCAAAAGGACAATTACACAAACAATGAACGGATGTCTCATCCTCCACAACACACACACAACAGTGATAACCAACTGTACACCAATATGCCTTCGTCATAAGTTCTACAACACCGAGAGTCTATTAGAAGCAATCCTCCACCAAAAATTGAGAACCTTTGCTGGAACGCTCACATGGTAAATCTGCTTCCAGAACACCCTCAACAAACTAGCTAGAATCGCTCGCTGCTCATGAAGCAAACCATAACCGCTTTTCACTGAATAAACACCATAATTCTCCCACACCCACTGCCAGGAATCAATTATATCAATTAACGGCAACCGTATTCGTTTTAGAAGAGCTAACTCAGCAACAGAAAATAAACCAGTAATAGCTTTCTCATCGCAAATGTTTGAGTTAGGCATCACGAGATTAGCTACACACAATTCATCCATTCTAGTATTATTTGGAGAACTCACTTATGGTACATTTATGTCTAGAAGCCAGGAAGAACCATAAACAAAAATATTTGTGCCATTGCCAATCCGCCTTAAGCAACCACGATGCAACAAAGGAATACTGGCATGGACACTTCTCCAAATATAACTCGGACTGCGACCAACATCAGCATCAAATAACGAACAATCCGGAAAGTACCTAGCTTTATACAATCTTGAAACTAAAGCTTGGGGAGAATTTAAAAAGCGCCAAACCTACTTGGCGAGAAGAGCAACATTAAAATCTCTCAAACATTTAAAACCAAGTCCACATTCTTCTTTGGTACGACACAAATTCGACCAAGAGGGTCAATGCACCCCACCTGACTCCGAGTTCCCATTATTCCACCAGAACCAGTTCATAGCCTTTTTCACCATATCACAAATATTAACAGGTAACAAAAAAACCAACATAACAATTCGGCATCAGCCTGAGCCACAATTTTAAGCAAAAGTTCTTTACCAGCCCGTGACAGCATCTTCCTTTTCCACCCTTGCAACTTTCTTACTACTTTGTCAATAAGATAGCCAAACACTTCTTTGTTACTTCTACCAATTACCGATGGAAATACGTGTGAAAGAAAAATTAGGATTCGTCACATTAAATCATCTCTAAATAAAAGAAAACTATATTCTTACCCTAGGGTTGTAAAATGAGTCGAGGCGAGCTCGAACCTACTAAGGTTGAAGCTCATATCGATAGAATTTAGCTCAGTTCAAAATTGAACGAGCTTGAAAATTTTAAGCTAAAACTCAATTAAAATTCAACTCAGACTTAAATTCAATTTGAAAAATTTGAAACTCTAGAGGTTTAAGGCTGAAATAACTTAAAATAGTATTATATGTATATATACCAAAGCTTTCGAGTTGAGCATCATTAGCTCGAGCTCGACTCGATTGCTAAACGAATAAGCTCAAATTTAATTCAAATCGAACTTTTTTGAACTTTTTTCAAGTCAAGTTTGAATAGTTGGTTAACCCAGTTTGCTCTTTTACGCCCTTAACTTAATAATTAATTTGGATATTATTGAGCCAGGATAGTCATAAGATCCGGATTGAGTTTGTTACAGGAGATAGTAAGTTCCAAAAATCAAAAAAAAAAAAAAAAAAAAAAAAAAATGAACTTTTTTCAAGTCAAGTTTGAATAGTTGGTTTAACCCAGTTTGCTCTTTTCACGCCCTTAATTAATAATTAATTGGATATTATTGAAGCCAGGATAGTCATAAGATCCGGATTGAGCTTTGTTTACAGGGAGATAGTAAGTTCCAAAAATTCAAAAAAAAAAAAAAAAAAAAAAAAAAAATCCAACCAACTAGCGCGTATTTGCCCGTCCTTCATTATTGCCACGAACATCGGTAGAAAATGGAGACTTAAAAAAAAAAAAAAAAAAAAAAAAAAAAAAAAAATCCAACAACGAGCGTATTTGGTCCTTTCATATTGCCACAACATCGGTAGAAAATGGGACTTCTGGACGTAAAAGCGGGCCTAAGTATTATATCCACAAGTGAGCAAGCCCACCTAATCCAAAGCAGCAGACAACAACAGCTATAATAATAATAATAATAATAATAATTAGGGATAATTTATATATTGTTTTATTTATTTGAATGTCTCACTTATATTTTTCATCAATTAAATATTTCAAACTATTTATTTTTTATTAAGTATATTTGACAGAAATCGTTTCCTGTAAAGTTAAAATAAATGACTTCAGATATAAACTTCAATTTATTTTAATTTTTTAGTTCTTATTTCTTTTTATTTTTTTATGGTCTCATATGTCTTCTTAAGCAAAAAAACCTAAGAAATTTCTTCTACTTTTCTTTCTATTTCAAAACAAAATAAATAAAAATGAGGCAAAATAAAATAAAGAAAGAAAGGTGATAATATAGAAAAAACAAATAGAGTGAGTCTCTAATAATTAAGCATGCTTTAAACTAATTATTACAAAGAAATAATAAATGGACATAATTAACTTAATTGTTTAGCTAATATATATGTATAAAAATGGTTTGTTAAAGCCGTTAAAGGGTCATTTTTGTCTTTTTAGATGAACAACAGAAATGTAATGTGGTGTGCTCTAAAGTCTAAACCATTGATATTATGAATTCTCTCTTTTCACGGCAAAATGAAAAATTTGCGGAATTGATAATTTCCGCAATTTAAGCAAAATGTTTTGATGTTTTTCACCAAAGCAATTGCAGGACTAATCTAGCATTTTAAAAGTCAAAAATTTGTCAATTACGAAAATGAAAAATCAAATTTGTGAAATTCATCGTGTTCCTGAATTTTATTTAATTTTTTTATTGTGCGTAAAATGATTTCTTAAATTAGTTAAGGTGATATTTAGCTTTTTAATTAGAGTCAAAACAATATATCTATTATCTTTGTTATAATATATTATCTGTAACATAAATAAAATATCTAATGTTGTCGAATAAGCTCTAGTGAATTTTCTAAGATTTGAAATATTAATTTAATGCATTACTAATACTCAACAATGAATTATTAGTTTGATAATAGTCAAATTTTTATGATTAACTAATTTAATATTGTGGTTAAAATATTTAAGAATTGCTTTGTGAAGTGATCATAATATGACTTTCTTCTTAACTGTGAATTTGGCACCTAGTGCATTTCAATGATTATGTTTAGACAGATTCACCACCAGACATTGCATTTAAAGCTTTAAAGAATAGAAAAGGACAATTTGATTGTCATAACTTATAATAAGCAAAACCAGGAGGAGCGTTTGAAAAATAATTTTTACTTAAAAAAATTGTAATATGATGCCAATTCATCGATACTGAATAGACCGACCAAACAACGGGGTTTGGTTGAGATGAAGTGGTTGAGATTTAAGTTTTGAATATGAAAATTATCACACTGGAAAAGTCGCCTTTTATATAGGCACTGCAGAATATTCGAGTCAAACATGCTCGAAATCTATTTATCTGCTAATTAGTTAATCTGTGTTTTTTTTTTTTTTTTTTTTAAGAAAAGTTTTTTTTTTTTTTTTTTTTAAAAAAGTTAAACGGGTGTTATTATATATAAGATTAAGATTAAGATCACATGCTCCACCACCAAGAAATCTTGACTTGCAATTACCCATATCCATTTTAATATCATGTTTTTTTTTTTTTTTTTTTTAAGAAAAGTTAACGGGTGTTATTATATATAAGATAAGATAAAGATCACATGTCCACCACCAAGAAATCTTGACTTGCAATACCCATATCCATTAATATCAGTACATAGGTAAGTATTATTTCTTGTTCTTAGCAATGTTAACTTTGACGAAAGGCTACAGGCATAATATAGTAAAATACGGCTAAAGACTAACGTGACCCTACCATAACTTATCTCAAGAGCATGATTTGCGTCGTATAATCGTCAAACAGGTGGGACCTGCCAATTGAATTAGAGTCAAAAGTGACTCTTCAGTGGGCCCTTGATACAAGAAAAGTCTCTCTGCCTATGGCAAGCAAGGGTTAGGTTTAGGGACCTGTAACCCCAGTAACACATGACTTGTATATATGGTCCACTATTCCAATAATTTCAGGTTTGATGATTTATATAAAACATTTCCCTCATTTCTATTTCATCACTTGACACTTTCCTTTTTTTTTTTTTTCATTATATTTAAGTTATAAATGAACTCGAGTTCGATTCGTTATACTACATATATTATTAAGCTCAAGTTCGATTCCAACTTCGAAAAAACCGAGCTTTATATATGTAACTATCCATCCAATAGAAATGCATTTAGTAAACTTTTTATATTAAACATTAGCTGGCCCAGTTTTAGTTAAAGAGAAAGAGAGCGACTTTCTACAATTTCCTCTTTCTAATTTGCAGGTTCTTTTTCCTGTTGTGGTTGAGTATCTGCTTTGCATGTTGAAGAGGAAAGGAATATGCAGATCCTGATAGGGTTGCTTTTCAAGAAAATATGAAAATAGGAGTACATTATTATTATTTTTCTTGGAAGGTTACAGCTATAATTAAGGTGCTTAAAAATTTTTTATGGTTATTTTAAAATAATAAGAAAAATTATATTTTTTTTAACATGAATTTTACCTAAATACTTCAAAATCTCTGAAATTACTATTATCAGCCAAGCATGCGGATTTGATTCGGTGAAAACTGGAAAAAAAGTTTGAACCTTGGAAATATTTTCCTGAATAGGTAAAGGTTGAGATACAGTAATGGGATTGGGAAGTGAAATTACTGTAGACTGTAGAGAAATATGGGACTCCCACATTCACATGCATATAATATTACAAACTGTAATCTGAAAAACCACAAAGGATTAATAAATTTTGGGACCCAAAATGTACAGAATAAAGCAGTGTGGCTAGTGAGTGAGTGAGTCCTGTTAGTATTAGTTTAGTTGGAAATAGTAAATACTTTCTTTTACTTTTGTTTATCCCACCCACATTCCCATCAAAAGAAGAGGAATAAAGATGCAATAAGCTCCATTGGCTCCCGCATCAGCCGGACGACCTTCGTATGTTTTTTTTTTTTTTTTTTACAATAAGGTTTTATTGGTAAATAGCTTTTAAAAGTTAAAGTAATGTGTTATAAAAGTTTAACTCTTATAACGTTTAACTTTTAGTATTTTATTAAAAATTCTATTTAAACAGCTACTAGCTATTAAAAACAGTAAGCAATTACAATTAATTTTGCCGAACAAGCTTTAAAAATGATACACAAGACATTTTTCATACATTATATTAATTTCTTTTTGATCTGATTAAAAATGAATTATATATATGTTGAAATTAACAAATTTATCAAAAATTAGGAAAATTTATTATGGGCTTACTCTAAATATTAAACCTTGATCAATAAGGTGGAGAGCAAATCGAATTACCAACTTGATCGAGCTAATCTTTGAAGGTTAATATAATTTTTTCCTTTTAAGGCTCTATTTAGTGTTCACTCATCGTTTAACGAGTAAAAACATCGGTATGAATATGCTACTAAGCGAAATTTAAATGATTATTTTAAATTTAATTTAATTTGACAATAAGATGATATCACTATCACTCTATCAATGTAGCTTAACTTTGGTCTAGTGTTATTGGCGGGGCATCAGCATCTTCACCATATTATGAGGTTCTTTTTCTGGGATTTTTGTTATATGTTATGGATAAATGGAAAATGGACTTCAATATATATAAATTGGTGCTTGTAGTTAGCCATAAATGTTCCTGTAATTTTATCCAAAGATGATTCAAGCAGTCAAATTTATAACATGAATGCTTTTGTTTAGGAACTTAAATTGGTGGGCAATTCCTGAGTAGACATCTTTGGCTCCATTCTTTGCCTCTCTGGATTTTGACTTTAGAGGATTTTTACCTGCTTATCTCGTGATATACTGACATATGTATTTATTATGCTTTTCGTTTTTTCGGGAAGAGGAAATTGTAACCTAAATCTATTAATTTATATAATGCACTCTCAACCCTAAAATTTTATTAATTTTATTTTTGAACCTTTGCACAGCATTTCCCTCCTTTTTCTTAAAGGAATGCACGGGTTTCGAACTCATAAACCTTCTTAAATATGTCTATATGAATAGTACAAGCATAAGATCTTCGCTGCAAGATTAAATACTCAAATTAACGTTTCACCTACCTCTCTGCTTACAATGCATGAATTAGCATAGGCTCTTTTTGCGTTATTGTTCAAATAAAATGGCTAAATATCCTCAAAGAAAATTGCTGGACCTTTTTCCTCGAGATGGCCCAGATTCTCTCTCTCTCTCTCTCTCTTCTTTCCTTTAACTAATGAAGTGAATCCCAAAAGGTCAGGTACTGTGATTATAAATCAAGAAACTAATAAGAACAGCGAGTGCTGTTATTAACTGTTGAGCAAAAGAGTGAGTGAGAGAGAGAAAGAGAAGGTTTCAAGAAAATAGGAATTATCCTTCTCAGGTACTCTTAATTACAATTAAGATTGCCATTTTCTTTTCACTAAGCACCCACTTCAAAATCTTCAAAGATGCATTATTAGAACTGGATATATAGAAAAAAAGTGCTATTTTCTTGAATCTCTAAAAGAATACTGTAGCACTACTCTTCTCTAGAGCAAAAATGCTGCAAATAAGCTACATTGTCTTAATTCTTCTTGTGACCTCGTTTTCTCCACTTGGATTAGCAATGCTAAACTTGACATTTCCAACTCCTCATCCCAACCCTGAAGAAGTTGTTCAAGATGTTCAAAGGTATAATGCTGCTTTTAAAGTAGCCTGCATTTTGCTTCTTTTTCTTGCATAACTTAATTTTCACCCCACTTTCAGACACTTCTCTGTTTTCAACTTCAAATATGTGCTATTTCACTTCATTTAAGGACCTGAAAGTCCAAATAATATTTGATTTTCCCATTTCTTTATTTACTTTGGTTGGCTTTTTAGATTTTTTTTTTCTCTAACCAAACTAAAATCTGGGTTTTCTTCATTTCATTTCTTTTTGTTCAAATTCTTTCCATTTTTTAAGTATTTCTTTTGGCTATTAGGCTCAAAATAAGTGTCTGAATATGCAATCTTACAACTCTGCAGAGTACTCTAGCGCCACTTGGCTAAAGCTAAACTTCTCCTTTTACTTTTTTTGATTAATCTCTAATTGTAGCAAGAACTCACAATTTTATACCTTTAAAAACGCGAATGCAAAGTTCATTGCGTCTTGTTTTTCTTCTCCAGTTAAGTTTAACAACAGTCATTTATGATATCCTGCTAGGATGTGGGTCAATGTCTGCAAGAGTCTTTAAATTTGATATTGATCTGTTTCTGTTACGTTTCTCTATTGTCAGAAGAGTAAATGCTTCAATTTCAAGAAGGCAAATGCTACAGTTTTCTCAAGAAGACCAATCCCCTTGCCAAACAGGAAACCCTATAGATGATTGTTGGAAATGTGACCCAGACTGGGCCAACAATCGCCAAGGGCTAGCCGATTGTGCTATAGGTTTTGGCCAATATGCAATGGGAGGCAAAAATGGTGAGTACTACATAGTGACTGACTCCTCAGACGACGATGCTGTTAATCCAAAACCAGGAACTCTAAGATATGCTGTAATTCAACCAGAGCCTCTATGGATTGTGTTTCCTACAAATATGCTAATTCATCTCTCCCAAGAACTCATTTTCAACAGCTACAAGACTCTCGATGGACGTGGGGCTAATGTGCATATAGTGGGTGGTGGGTGCATTACTTTGCAGTACATAAGCAATATTATTATTCACAATATACACATTCACCATTGTGTTCAGTCAGGTAAAAATTAAGTTTTTGCTAATATTTCTAATTTTTCATTTTCTGTGCATAGATCATGTACGTTTGACTAATATATTGACTTGGAAATTTAGCTCGACTCCCTTCTTTCAATACTAAAAAAATAAAATTTCCATGCATGTCAAGGCGTTATTATTTTGAATATGTGATCTTTTATACGCATATGATATGTATTAATTTCGAAAAACTTACACATTTACGTATTTCATAAGATATATGAGTATTCTAGCTTCTTTAAATCACTATTATTTTGCATATAGAAAGTGGGAATAAAAACAAAAAAGAGACAACTTAAGCTTTAAAGTCTCTTTGGAACATGTTTTCATGGCAATATGCCACTGAGAAAAAGAAACAAGAGTAATTTTGTAGCTCATAGCATGATTAGAGTCCCACTTTCTTTTGGTACTTTCTTTGAAGTGGGTCCCTAAAAATCCCAAAAGAAAAGTCAAGGATTTCACATTAATTCATGAAAACATTTATAGTAAATTTTTATCCACAACAATTTTTTAAATAATTTTTATCATATTTTTTATAATATTCGATAAAATAATATTTAAATTAATTTTTAGAAATTAAAATAATATCTTATAAAAGTTAATTTTGTAATATTTAATTTTTAATATTTTATGAAAAGCTAATCAAACGGTTAATTACTTGAAAGATACCCTTAACTTATTAAATATGTTGACCGTTTCAGGTAATACTAATGTGCGGTCAAGCCCAACCCACTATGGGTTCAGAACAAAATCAGACGGTGATGGAATCTCCATCTTTGGGTCCAAAGACATATGGATTGATCATTGCTCACTGTCTCACTGCAAGGATGGTTTGATTGATGCTGTGATGGGGTCTACAGGAATAACAATATCAAACAACTATTTTTCACATCACAATGAGGTGATGCTATTGGGTCACAGTGATGATTATTTGCCAGACTCAGGAATGCAAGTGACCATAGCATTTAACCATTTTGGAGAGAAATTGGTGCAGAGAATGCCTAGATGCAGAAGAGGGTATATTCATGTGGTCAATAATGATTTTACAAAATGGGAAATGTACGCAATTGGTGGAAGTGGTAATCCTACAATTAATAGCCAAGGCAATCGGTACACTGCTCCTTCTGATCCAAATGCCAAGGAGGTAATTTTATTATTTATTTTAAAAATTATTAGTTTGTTAAAATATACTGATCTGTTCTCGCATTTTCGAAAATACACTAATTTTTTCTTATGTATGTTGTATTAATTTGTTCTTTCATCCATTTTTTATACTTTTTCTGTTAAAAATTATAAAAACATGGATGGAGAAACTTTAATTTTGTAAACACATAGACAAAATAGTTAATTTTCTAAAGTAATAATGAAAAAACATAAAAATTCATAAAATGATAAAATAGTGTAACAATGCAAAATATTTTAAAAAAAGGTAACGTATTTTAAAAAAATATATAGGAGTAAATTAGTGTATTTGATCAAAATGCAGGGATAAAATAGTAATTTTTATGATACGCACACTAAAACATAGTCCAGTGGATACTCAAAAAAAAAGTTTGTATGATACAATTATAAGTATAATCCCTTACAATTAAGTATTTTTAAAAGGGAAAGTACAAAATTACCAATTAGCTATTGGAATCCTTTTTTATTTTTTTATAAATTCCCCTTACTAAAAATGAATAATATGCATTAATTAATTAAATGGAAGCACACTTTTTTTTTTAAAATTAGAATCTTTATTCACTTTTATGTGCTTAGCTACTCCAATCCCTATATAATTGTTACTTTTAGTTGAAAGTTTCAATTCTTACTTTTGTGTTTTAGAAGCTGTATTCTTGATTTTCTTTTTGAATCTCTTAGAAGATATGTCTATACAATGTCTTGTCCTCATCCATAGTGAATACCAAGATGACAATTTTTCAAAACTAAAATTGACCTTTATGACCATTTTTTTAAAGAAAATCATAGATTAATTTGCATAATCGATATTTAATAATGTAAATTAATTAATTAATTAATTAATTAAAATGTATATGAACTTTTCAATTTTGCAGGTAACAAAGAGAGTGGACACAGCAGACGGGGATTGGAAAGGATGGAATTGGAGATCAGAAGGAGACATAATGGTAAATGGAGCATTTTTTGTAGCGTCAGGAGAGGAATTAGAGGTTAAGTATGAGAAGGCATACAGTGTGGAGCCTAAGTCTGCTGTTCTAATTGATTTGATCACCTTCCATGCTGGTGTTCTTGGAGTTGGTGGCAGGTAATTATATATATTTTTTCTTTTTCTCTCTTTACTTCCCTTTTTCTCTTTAATTTTATTCCTTTTTCTTTTGCATAGTTTCTCTTATGCCCCCACAATAGTATTAATTGTTATCGCGGAACGTATAACTTTGACCATATATTTTCGGTAATTATTCTCGTAGCTCTCTGAATTTTACAAGAAATCCATTATAACTCTCGCTAGAACAATTACAATGTCCCTTGTCATAATGAAATGTGAAAATATAAAAGTATGATTGAACCTCCTGGAAAATATTTTATTTTGACAAAAGACATAATTATATTATTGAAATGTTATGGTTACAATTGAACTTTGATAAAGTTCAAATAATCGTTTAAAGTTTAGAGTCAAATTTATGCATGAGGCTTAATTATTACCGATGGCCCCAATACTTGGATCCATTGTCTTCAACTTTATTTTGGGCTGGCTGGGGCCTTGCCAATGTCTCTTGTTTGGGTTAGTGGACCTTAAAATGACTAATCCATAATTGTCCACCAAGCAAGTAGTCATTTGTTTTTATATTTTTAAAATTAGTCCAATGCCTCTCTAAAACTCATATGCATAGAACTTTTGGATTAGAACCAATTAGGTCTGTCATTACATTAATGTACTTAGATGACCAATTTGATTTATAGTACCAAAAAAAAATGAATTTAAAAAACATAGATGTATTATGTAAAATTTGAATTATTATCCTTTTATATTATGTAAAAGAATACTCGATTGTGAATTATTATTTTGATTGCATAAACAAATATATCATATATGTATTCTACGAAATATAAATGATTAATGTGCATGCTTGAGCAGGGAAAACACACTTGGAATGTGGAGCACCGGTGCAAACGGTGGTGAAGCGAGCGGCGAAGATTCCGGCGATGAGTTCTTGGATGACTATAATGGAAACAGTCCTCCATTGTCACCTCCCTCTATCTACGTTCTTTTCCCCCTTTATATTGCAATTTCTTGCTTGGTAACTGGTCACATTATAGGCCTCACATCAATGTTATAGCAAGCAAATAAGTTGTGAATTCTAATTTAATGTAATTCACATCATCAGCTTCTGCTGGAAAAAGAGAACTGTACATTATGTTTTTCACCAATTCTTGCAACACTCCAACCTCAATTTCTTTCTTGCTCTATCTTTTGTTACAATTTGAATTTTATATTCACAAAAGGGAAATTAAGAAGATAAATCAAATCAAACCAAAAATATTTTATTAATAAATAAAGATACAATTTTTATATTATTAATCTGAAATTAATAATTTTGATATCAATTACAAAATACAATCAAATATATAAAGGACATGTTTGGTAAAATTAGTTGTTTTATTAGCAGTTTTAATAGCGTTTAATTATTTGAGTTGTTTTTTATAAAACACTAAAAACTAAACGTTTTAAGGGTTAAGGCTGTATTCTGCAACAACTTTTAAGTAGCTTTTAAGATTTTGACTGACGCTATTTTGATAGTATTCGGTAATATAGTGTTTGAACTGAGTTTTAAAGGTTAAAATAGTGTTTCGTGAAAAGCTATTCAAATAGCTAACAAACACTAACCTTCTATAAAACAGCTAATTAATAATAAAATCACAGAATTTTAGTTTAATTTTCGAATTATGACATCACAAAATAAGCACTTGAGTACTTGACTAATCAAATTATAATTGAGATTAAGATTTAATGTATTTAGCCATATCTATTTATTTTAATTGAAGAAGTGATTTGGGCCTATCATGATAAGAAGCATGCGGAATCTAAAATTACAAAACAGCTCTTAGTGGGGAAATTCTAATGTCATAGAAAACCTAATTAACCATATTAATTATCCTAAGGATATTCAAATGACAAGTGCATTACAATTAACATTTTCCCATCAAGAAACTAAATCTTGAAAGACAGAACTGTAACATCCCTTCTCGGTCCACCCGTTAACCCGAATGAACCGAGTCGAGACGTTACAAACTGGTTGACTAAATGTTCTGACATGCTGATGTCCAGAACTGTAACATTCCCTTCTCGGTCCACCCGTTAACCCGAATGAACCGAGTCGCAGACCGTTTACAAACTGGTTGACTAAATGTTACTGACATGCCTTTGATTCATAATGGCTTACTGACTTATTTATTATACAGAAGTTGTTTACATTCATAATGTAATGAATATATACCATAACATGATAACTTAGTTTACAAAAATGAAAGGGCCCAACTGGTGCCCCAGTACATGCCATGAAACGGAATATAAAAAGATTACACATCAAAATGGTAGAAGCTTACCCTGGAAGACTTGTGTCTTCTACAGATTGAACTGTTGCAGTCTGGTAGGCGACGCTCTCTAGACCAAGTCTCAAAAACCTGCTAGTTAAAACAGGTAACTCCTGAGCTATAACGCAGCCCAGTGGATATCTCAACCATAGAACAGAAAGAAGTAATTAAGCCACATACACGTTATAGCAAAGCAAAACCATGTAAACACATATGGGCACAAACAATCACCCGTTATTATGATTAATGTCATTTACCTTGATGAATCTTCTTTCTATATATGATACTGTATGATTTCATGTAATTGTTATGTCAAAGGGATATTGTATGGCTCCATAAGGTTATAGTGAAACCGTAGTTGATAAGTGTAATAAACTGTATGAATACTGTCATGCTTGGCTGCTTATGGCCTGTATAATCATATCCACTCAACGGCCTGTAGCGGAGTTCCAAACTGTATGGGGCGCCAGATCTGCTATTCTATGTCGCGACATAGCCTTAATCTTAAAAAACCTGGTTTCTACCTAACCTCAATTGGAAGCTTTTATGTAACATGTCAAATTTTTATAACACTATAACACCATAACACATAAATGATTGCATAACTTCATAGTTCATCATGTTGATTTGATTTCACATCATATGAATGCTTGTATGTTGTTTTAATCCATGTTCTTATAGTATATTTTTGTTGTACAATGATTGGATGCATGCATGTTGAGCAAAGGAATGTAATTGTATAGAAAAAGAAATCCAAAATGCATGAAAACACAATGTCGCGAGCGCGCAAGGAGAAGTCGCGAGCGCGAGCTGCTTCCCAGAGAGAAGTCGCGAGCGCGTCTTCAAACCTCGCGAGCGCGAGATGCACCATTTGAGAGTCAGAGAGTTTTCTGGCTCAAGTCGCGACCGAAATGCATTTGAGAGTCAGAGGGTTTTCTGGCTCAAGTCGCGACCGCGCAGCACACGTCGCGAGCGCGCTTGTGTGATTCGCGAGCGCGAGATGCGCACACTGAGAGTCAGAGAGCTTCTGGCCAAAGTTGCGACCGTGCATGTGATCCTCGCGAGCGCGAGTTGTGCAATTGAGAGTCAGAGAGCTACCTGACTCAAGTCGCGAGCGCGCAATAGGAAATCGCGAGGAAGTTGCGAGCGCGACGTGCTTTCCAGCATGCGCGAGCGCGCGACGTGATTCTGTGCAGTCTGTATTCTTTTGGCCATAACTCTCAATAGCTAATTCCAAATTGAGTGATTCAAAAACGCGTGTCAAGCTAACACAGAAAGGAACAAATAACTCTTCTATGACAATTCCTAATTCCATCATTAAAAGGGTTCAAAATCAAGATGAAGTTGTTGGTAAAATTTCCAGCAAACTATGTTTCCACTTCATATAGTCATCCCCTGTTTTCACATCATATCCAATCTTCTCACTCAACAATAAGCAACATATCATCTCACTAGCAACACCACACAATTTACATGCAAAGAAACTAATAAACAACATGAGATATCAAACCTTGACGTCAAAAGCTTGAAGTAGTAAACAACATGAGATATCAAACCTTGACGTCAAAAGCTTGAACTCTGTTTCAGCTTCTCTTTTCTGCAACTTTTGAACTTTCCTCTCCTATACACAAGAATTCTCATAACTCATCTCCAATAGAACTAAATGAAATAGGAAATAACATCACACTTCAAGGAATTCTACTTACTTGGAGTGGTGCTTCACTATGTTGACAATTGAAAGAAAATGGGCGGGACAAGTAAGAAGAGAAGGAGAAACGTGAAAATGGGAAAGTGAGTTGATAAGAACGGGTAGTCTCTAGATGAAATGACTTGGCTGTATAACCTCTCTAATTGGCACCTCAAGTGTACAAAGGCTACAACTTAATACCCAAGCTGTATATTTTAATGCAAACAAGTCCTAACCTTTATTTGCAAATAAGTCCACTTCTAATCTCTTTCTACTTCTAATCTCTTTCTACTAACCTTTATATGCAAATAAGTCCACTTCTAATCTCTTTCTACCCCAACCAGGTTTGGTTCAACCCAACTCAACTCAACTCACTAGGATGTTACAAGAACTCAGTTCTTTTCCCTTTTGCTTTAGCTAAACTAATATTTGTTTACTCAAAAAGCAAAGACAGATAGCATTTTTTGTTACTTAAAAAGAGAATAGGAAGAAACTTCAGGTAGACCAGAACAAAACATAACAGATTTAATTAATATAAAATGTTAATAAAGAACAATATCATGAAAATATAGTATAAGAAATTCATGTATATATGTTTAAAGGTGTATGGCTAAGAGAGAACCTTTTCTCCATTAGATAAATTTTTTTTATTTATTTTATTAATTTATATTTAGAAAAAACTTAACATTTTTAAGTTTCTAAATCCGAACTATCATGTTCTAAATATATCCAATCTAACTAGTAAATATCAAGTAAAAATAACCTGAAAAACCTTAATTTACATAAGATTGATTTCTTCTTGAGAAAAGAAGATAAAAAAAAAATAATAATAAAATTGCAAATCAGAGCATTGCAACAACGTAATAAATCAAAATCAAGCTAAAAAATCATTAGACGCTTCAACACCCATCTTCGTCAAAGAATATGCAACGCAATTTTCTCATTAGATAAATATATATATTAAAATAATAAAAATGGCGACCAACTTGTTGTTTGTTGATTGTAGATATTGAACTTAATATCACTTCTGAAATAAATGGATAAAGATGATCTAGTTCCTAAATATTTTAAAAATAAAAATGCAACTTGTATAAGATTTCTCTTTTGATGAACTTTATATCCATTTGAGTCTATGGTACTAAGTAATTGAAAAGATATATATGAAGAAGGTGATGTAGATTGGTAGGTTTGTATACCAAATTGGGTTCTCAAGAATTCTTTTCTTTTTTTTTTTTTTTAAGAAAAATGGGAAAGAAAACAAAAGAAAAGTGATATTTCCCTTAAAAGCATGTGACATCAACTAAGGTTTGTTCAGTTCATGTATGCTTCTTGTTTTTTTTTTTTTTTTTTTTTTTTTTTTTTTTTTTTTTTTTTTTTATATTTATAATTTAATTATGTTTCCTTTTATTTGTGTCATCACAAACAAATTTTTTTTTTTTTTTTTTTTTTTTATATATAATTTATTATGTTATCCTTTGTATTTGTGTCATCACAATTGACAAATTCTTGACCCCTGAAGATTATAGGGAGCACATTTCATTGCTTGCTTTTATAATTTAAAATTGTGTCTGTTGCATGAACAGGATAAGAGTAGTGATGGCTGTAAAGTTTGATTAGCTAGCCACTCATGATCCCTCCTCTATAATGGTGAAAATTATTATTATTATTATTATTATTATTATTTTGTTAATTAAATTAGTACTGAATACAATTAATAAAATGGCCCAACTCACTGTGATATTTCCTGAATTGCATGCTCCAAAGAGGATATAAAGAAAATATCAAAAAATTAAATAACAAAGATCTACATTTCATGCTCAAGAATTCTAGCTACTAAAATTGGAAATTCTGTTTTGAAAGATCAAATGTTTGCCTTTAATATTCCTAATGGAATTGGCAAGAAAAAGAACGCAAATGCTGACCAAAGGGGGAGAGAAGTGGAACTTGAAACTTAACAATTTTGGGATTTATATTGGAAATATTTAACAACATAACTATTTTACAATTCGAAGTTATTGTCCTTCAGTTAATTTGAAGAGTAAAAAAACTTCAATTCATATCCCAAAGAGAGCCTAAGGAATCTAATATGCTATTGTCAGTACCATCTTCAGCCTTCCATTGCAGATAACAGAAACAAGAACAAAAACCACTGCAATCTCCATGAATTTTCATTTCACTTTGATCATGATCGCCGGAAAATTCTGACATCCAATCATATAATCTGGTTTCATATGGTGAACTCAAGTAGGTCAAACTTGATAATTCATAATACTGATCCAATGATTCTTGAGTTCCTATATTATCTGCAACAGATTTATATTCTTCCATATTACAATTCCAAGAACTTGTATCGCCTTTCTGATACAAAAAATCCTGTTTAGCATTGTTTTCTTTGCAAAAATTTCCTGCAAAAAAGAATTAGAAATAATTTTAGTAAAAAGAACTATATTACTATATCAGAAATAATAATATATAAAGAATTTTTGAGTTGCACCTTCTTGTGCTTGTATTTTCTTTCTTAAATGAGTTCTCCAATAGTTCTTGATCTCATTATCAGTTCTTCCTGGCAGCTTTCGAGCAATCTTTGCCCACCTGAAACAAAATAGAAGAAAGCTAAATCTTTAGCTTTTTCTGATAAAACTGAACTTGTCTTTAGGACTATGAAGTGTTAAGTTGGAGAACATTACTTGTTGCCCCATAACTCGTGAAGTTGAATAATAATCTGTTCTTCTTCAGCACTTATGTGACCACGCTTAAGATTTGGCCTGAGGTAGTTCAGCCACCGCAGCCTGCAACTCTTGCCACTTCTCTTTAGACCTTAAAGTAAGAGAAACTTCATTTTAGAAAATCAAGAATTAAATCCATATATATGTTAGACAACTGAAGCATATATACCAGAAGCAGTGGCAATGAAATCCCATTTTCGTTCTCCAAAAAGAGTAACAAAAGTTACTAATTGCTCATCTTCTTCTTCTAGCCAAGGCCCTTTACGCAGTTTATCTCCATGAATGGATGTTGCTTGACAAGCCATAATGATATATATGATTGTCTTGAGTAAATCGAAAGAAGAGTTTTAGTGTTCTTATAGGAGTAACAAAGGTGACAAAAGTGTAAGTAAGGTCATGACCAGAAAATGTTACATGGGCAACATACGTGGATAACACTAATTTGTGGGAACTCCACCTTTGGTTTTTGTTTGCTTTACATGAGTTCAACCTTCAAAACTAAAATTCTGTCTTTAATTTTCAAAGGTTGTCCATCGGTTCTACTGCAAAAGTGCTACCATCGAAACAGTTTATTAGCTTATTCTTCTTATTGAAAATTCTTAGAAATAAAAAAAAAAAATTGTCGGGATTTTAATTCTTAATCTTTTATATGAGATAAACACCCGAGCATTTATATTTAGTAGAACATTATTAGGTTTTCTTTGAAATGTAAGGAACGGAAGGAACTTAATTTAATCTACTATAATTGAAAAGAAAAAAAAAGATTAAAGAGGATATGATTATTAATCCTAAAGAATTGGAGGAATAAGATAGCGTTTTGGAATGTAGCGGGAAACCAAAATGTGTCATCTCTATCCAGATCTTTTCTTAGCTTTTTCTACAGATTTTTACTGTAGTTAGAGAAGGGCATTATGATGAATTTTAATGGTTGCAATTTGGTGTGAAGTAAGCTAGGACAATCTCACAGTAAAATTTGAACTATGCTTTGCGTTTTTTCTTACTGGTGGTTTTGTTAATAAAATCAGTAAAATCTCACTAGTAATTAGCAGCCATGTTGACAAGTCCAGCGACGTTGAACCAAAATTTATTAATTTCTTTAATCACTAAACTCCATATATATATATATATATATATAACGTTGAACCAAAATTTATTTAATTTTCTTTAAAATCACTAAACTCCATTTATAATTATATATATATATATATATATAGCAAATTGGCAAATAATGCAAAAATTATTAATGGAATTATATATATATATATATATATAGCAAATTGGCAAATAATGCAAAAATTATTAATGAATGACGATCAATTCGACCAATTGCCTTACACTCAAAAAATTCAAGTCAGACTGAAAATTAGAGAGTAAAATAGACATGAATACAAATAATATATATGAAACAATCCATTATTGTGTCTCAAATTGCTGATTTCAAGTCAATTTATCTTAAGAACAACTATATCACTACTGCAAGCTAATTCATTAATTTTCTTTCTTATGCAGGATGCCAAAGGAGATGAGTTAAAAATAACCATCTCCTTCAAGTTTTTGGCATACTGGAGCAAATATTTTGCCAGCTCTAATTCCCTTTCACCATTAAAGATCTCTATCTCCACTTTCTCCAGTTCTTGAACAAATGATAAGTCTTGACATTGACGTTTCCAATATCCCACATCAAACGAGTCTTCTTCTGGCGTTGGCGAGAACTAAAATTGCAAAAGAAACAAGAGTTATGAGTCAACTAAAAGCCATTCAATGAGATTTAAAATTTAAAATGTTTGTTATTTTCATGTCTTTGACTTACTTCAGCAACTGAATCTAAACCAGATAGTATCCACAAAGTCTTCAAATTCTTCATTCTTCGAAGAAGGGATATTATTGCTGGAGGGAAGAAGTCATGTCCTAAAGAATGGACCTTGATACATAATTTAGTTGTATCAAACAAAGGACTACTTATCAGATCCTGTCTGACAAGATCCTGTAACAATATGAAACTCTAGTTGATAAGAAAGTAGAAATCACATCTTTTTTTTTTATGGTATAATCAAGAAGTTTAATTCCCTTTGGGAATTTTTTGGCCCTTGCAGTAGAGGGCGCTTTTCAGTATATCGAATTTGTGTTCTCACCCATTACCACCCCTAACAATACCTTGTTGGTCTGAAAATCACATATTTAACAACTCCACTACACCAATTAATCAAAAACAACAAAGTAGGAAACTTTCAATTTACTTACCTTGGTAAAATAGCCTTGTAGATGTAGCTCTTTGGTCCTGGTTATACCAGAAAGAAGTTTGTTGCACAAAATATGGAAGTTATGTTCATTGGAGACAAGGGACAACTGAACAAGTTCCAAATGCACTAAATTTTTCAAAACAATATGATCGACCAAATTCCCAACCCAAGTGAAATATTTTAGATTAGGAGTAGAAATAATTTTCAATGATCTGCCTTTGGCCTTAAATGAAGGAAGTGTGGCTTTAAAATGTAAACTTTGGAGTCTTTCACATGAAATACACAGATTTTTAAATGAAGAAGGATTAACAATTACCAAACGTTCCAAAACTGAGCTCTTGATGTCAATATCTTCTAACCCATCAACTTCAAAAAGTTCTATTACCCTAATTCTTTGCCAAGATGAAATCCATTCACAAAAAGACCTACCTTCAACACACAAACTGTCTAATGTCAAGAATTCCAGATTGAGAAACGGAATTGAAGAGGGAAACAACCAGCGGACTCGAAAAAACGTACACCCTAGAGCTAGAGACCTTAATGACTCGCAATGATAAAGAAAATGTGGCAGGTAAAAGTCGTTTGTTTTTGAGGTTGGAATGAATACAGTTTTAAGGTCTTTGACACCAGACATTACAGCATACGTCAACCAACTAATAGGCAAATCTGAATGAAATTGCTGGGTTTCTAAAAACCAACGAATACAAAAAGATTCAATCTTTCTTTGACCACGTTGAGCAAGAAACTTTGTCAACTGGTTTCCGATATGAGACAATGGAGAATCTCGGTTGCTTCTCCACATATGTACAATCGGTGATGCATCGAAGGTTAAGGAGGGAGCGGAGAGGCATAATTCTCTGCATGTTTTGGATGTTATGTAGAGCTTAAGGAAATCAATTGTGGGAAGAAAAGAAATTATATGGCAAGCAATATGGTCTGGAAGAGAATTGAATCTGTCTGGGTTTGTGTTGGGGCACTTTCTTGAAGAAGAAGACGAAGCCATTAAACTATTGTTCTAGGGTTTCATGATATGCAAATTAGGGCTAAAGATGATTATGACGATAAATTGCTATCTGTCTGGGGCTTTTAAAACACAAAATCTGGTTATGAACAATTCTATTTAATGTGAATGTGTTTACACTTTAGCGTAAGTTTCCTTTTAATTAGTAATGGTTTATGTTTACACTTGATGTAACTAAATCTTTTCTAGTTGGAGTCTTATCCTAACCGGATAATGATTTGGTGTGTGTTTAGACTTGGTTTTACGATTTTTTTGTTTCTTTTTTAAGTTACCTTTTTTTCTCTCAAAAAAAAAAAAAAAAAAAAAATTTTTTTGTTTTCTTTTTTTAAGTTTACCTTTTTTTCTCTCAAAAAAAAAAAAAAAAAAAAAAAAAAAAAAAAAAAAAAAAAAAGTTTACCTCTTTTTTTCTTTTAAGAACCCTAATATAATTTTATATGTTTTTCAGCTCAATATGTCAGAAAAAATCATTTCAGTTCATAATATTTCAACAAATTGATTACTACGTATGTGATTAAAATTGTTACTGCACCAAATTAAGGTTTTGTACCGCACCTACTACCTTCTTATTTTCATTACTCTTCAATCTAATAATTTTTCTCTTATTTTTATTACTGGTTCCATCTCATAATTTTCCTTTTGCATGAAGCGAATAATATTTGAAATTTATTATTTTTCTTGTGTTTAACATGTTTTTTTAATAAATATAATATTTAAACTACTTAATTATCATTAATTAAAATTTAATCTTCTAGTAAAATTCTATTTAATCAAATGTTTGATTTTATTTAATTTATAACATCATAAATAGCCTAACTTTAATTAATAAAGCTATCGGTTTTAGGATTTCCCCTTAAGCATGGTGTTTTAAAGGTTTAGTTATAAAAAAAAAAAAAAAAAAAAAAAAAAAAAAAAAAAAAAAGAAAAAATACTGAATTTTAAAACCCTCTTCACTTTTAGAACTTTCGAAAAATTCCACAATTTTTGTTGAAATAATCGAACCCAAACCAAGGATTAAAACGAGAATTCATACAAAAACCGGGCTTGCAAATTTGTCCGGCTCGGTTCAGTTGTTTGGAAAAAAAAAAAAAAAAAAAAAAAAAATACTGAATTTTAAAACTTCAACTTTAGAACTTCGAAAAATTCCACAATTTTTTGTTGAAATTAATCGAACCCAACAAGGATTAAACGAGAATTCAGACAAAACCGGGCTTGCAAATTCGGCTCGGTTCAGTTGTTGGGCCTTGAACTTGGGCTTGTGTTGAAAGTTGAAACCAATTCAAGAAAATGGAAGAAATTTTAGTGTATATTACAGATGTTAAGTATGCAATCTTGTTATAAATTTTACTGGGAATAGAGAAGGTAAAGAACTTTCCCATTTATTTTTCAATATATAACTCAGTAATTGAAGTACACAGAGATTTCAGGTTATAGAAACGAAGCTCCATAGGGGACTTGAAGAATCATATCAATTTTAAAAAAAAAAAAAAAGGGAAAACATAGATATCCATGTAATTTATTTTTTCAAAAAAGAAAAGATGTAAAAGCTGTAGAACCAGAAGCAAACATTGAAGAACCAAAAATCTAGAGAATTGTTATTAGAAGCATGAAATACAGCGCAAAGGCAGATCTTATTTACAGTCACTCCAGTTGTCTAGGCTATGCTCTTCAAATTCCCAAAATCGCATCTGCCAGATCACCCAAAAGCTACTAGCGATCTATGAATGATTTGTTCATGAGGTTAACAGCATTATCCATGAACTGCATACAGAAGAATATTTAAATTGTAAAATCAGAAGACTCATATAATTTACAAAGTTTTGTTTTGCATGCTTTATGGTTCCAACTTTTCTTTTATTATAAAAATAAAAAGACATGATCAAAGATCAACATGTACATAAGCAAATGATTGCGCGAGTAAATTGTAAAAGAACTGAGACCAGATCAATATCGTTTTTTCTTGTGCTTAATTACCTCTTGAACAAAGTAATAAAGTACCAAATTCCTAGTCTGGCATATATGTCCTTCACTCCAGAAAAGGTGAATTCAGTTAGACCAAGCTCTATTGCAAGTTAAACTACAAGTTACAGGTTCGTTTAAAATCAAAATCGCAAAACATATGCTGAGGAGTATACTCTATAGTAGTGTTTCCTTATTCCACATGCAACTGTCATAAGCTGTTGGAAGTTCAGAACAGTAGCAAGGTCTACATAGATCTATTGCAAAAGTAACACATCTATGAGAATGAGACTCAAAAAATCTTATTTGTTACCTCGTCACCAAGTCTATGCAATAATATATCAGAAATATTTGAGCATACTTAGTGCTTAACCTTTTTTATTGCTCTCAGAAACAATACTTTCTCACATTTCCTCCAAATGTTCCAGTTCAACACATATTAGTCGCTTGGACAATTGTAGCAGTTGTAATTATCTATTCAAGACAATCGACAGAAATCATAAGACTACTAAGTTTCTATTAAGTCAGTTTTCTCATCTCTTTTATTTATGTGCAAGTTCCATTCTAAAACAAACTAGGTGGATTAAACTATGCAGTGGCAAAGTGCATTTCTGAACCTGCCCTTGATTTGGATATCATTCCAGATTCCAGAATCAAAATATCCTCAGACCATGCCTGAATCCAGCAGCCTTCTTTTGACTCCAAAAAAGGTTATATTCATACAAAAAGCACAAGGTCCAATCTAGTCTTGCAATTTATCATGGTGTACCTAAACCTAGTAGAGTATATGGGATTGTGATTTCCCACACATTGGTAAGGCTCTAAACACAAAATGCATTTGATAATAAGATCGAAAAAAATCTACAACACAATATTTTTTACTAAAAATAATAGCATTACCTTTCCAAGCAGCTTGAGTTCTCGTCCAACTGGTTCCATAAATTTAAGGTCAACTTCTATCGGCCATACCTGTCCAATCAAAAGAAGAAAAATGATTAGATAATGAGGCTAATAACAGAAGGCCAATACAAGAAAACTACAAGCAAATCTATATGCATCTGCACCAATAAAAAACCGACAATATAACAAATTCTGATGGCTAAGAAAAGAGAGAGAGAGAGAGAGAGAGAGAGAGAGAGATGTACCATTTTCATTTTGGGCAAAGCTTATAAAACAAATTTTTTATCGCTAAGAAAAGAGAGAAAGGGAAGGAAGTTAAAGAAAACAAAGAGAGAAGAGTATCTCAGATGAAACACAAGTTTCGCTTGTGAATATCATTTGCCTATTACAGTTTATCTACTCCTGATACATATCAGCTAAGAGTACTATCAATATAACAGCAACAATCCATAACACATGCTAAGTAATCTGCTGAACAACAAAAATAAAAAACCAGCTAATCTTGTCCACTGTTACACTTATTCTAGCTTGAATTGATAACTCGGCTTAGCTGACCAACCAATACACCCCACTTTTATAGCTAATTACTTTCTAATGAAATTCTAACGTTGTCATGTAAGCAGCCTGTAGGTACTTTACGGAAGCAATTATTCCTGGCAAAGTTCATATAGTACATTATGCTGAAACTTGAACCATTTCGCCTAATCAGTCCATCAACATCACCTTCAAATCATACTTAAAATACAAAAACATTTTGTAAGAGATGGTTGGCCATGGTGGACTAAGCTCATATGCAGTTCATGCCAATCATGACCTAAACGGCAAAGCCCTTGGCCATAATTATACATGCTTTTACTAGAGATCCTTCCGAAATCTGAGTTTTTTTTATTTAAAGCAAAAATCAATGCATACTTCATAGAAAAAAAGCATGTTTGGTAACAGTGATGCAATAAAATGGAATTACTTCTAAATTTTAGAATCCTTCATCCTCCAAGGTTTATGCTAAAGTTGGACTCCTTAAGGCTCAGAAATTAAACTAAGAATTTCACCAACTAGCATATCAACTAAATTACTCCAAGATAGCAATATCAAAACCAAAATGGAAATTTTGAAATTAAGACGGGAAAAGACAAAAAAAAAAAAAAAAAAAAAAAATCTGGCTGGGAACATAAACAGGCTCCATATTTTTGCGACCCACCCAGGTATCGTTTTCTTATGTTTCTCCTCTCAAATGCCAATGACCCATAAAGGGGTAACGGCAAAGCCATCTTTGGCCCTTCGAACGAAATTTTAAGTCGCGTCACATACCGAAATGCTTTTACTTAGAGATTCCTTTCCGAGCACCGAGAGCTCTCTTGTGAGCGGGTGGATTATAGTAGGCCTTACTAAAATATTGAAATTATAACCCAACCAATTTTGATGTGCTTATAAAGCATATTAACATCAATGACATATTCATAGCTAAACAAATATGGAATGCCTTAATGAGCATTTATTGATAGGTTTTAATACCGCAGGTGGCACTCAAATGACATGAAGTGCTAAAATGGAATCTACTTCTATATAGATATTTTTATAGAAGGTGTGTGCCTTATGCGGAGGCCATATACCACAAACAAAGAGAGTTGTAATTGCTTTAATTGGAGAGTGTGCTGAAACATACACTTTACTTTATAGTTGCAAAATGCTTCCGGCTCAGAAATTAAACTAAGGAGAATTTTCACCAACTAGCATATATTAATCTTAGGACCATTACTCCGCACTATATTTGCGGGCATAAATATTATAAAATAATAAGCAATATATATTTCTCTTAGAGCAATTATATTTCCTCTACATTTTCGTTGGGAGAAAAGGCGGCAATTCTAAGGAAGCCCAGGAGATAGAGACATTTTTATCCTTATTGGAAACCACACTCTATATTAAATAAGGGACACCGCGGGTGAAAAAGAATCATATACCACCCAGAATGGAACCCATAAATAGAGAACTATAACATTTCAGGACAGATAACAAAAAGAGGAGGAGAAAAGAAATAAAAATCGCACCTGTCTCAAATAAAGCCCAAGTAACTTACGAATATCGGAAAGAGGAAACAGGAGGGTAAATCTTATTGTCCCAACACGACGCCGGAGCGTGATCACCCATTACATATCAGCCGAGAAACCGGACGGGGGCTATTAATACCTATCCCGGAACTCTTTTGATGGGCGTTGCTGTTGCCCCAAGACCCACACTTCCAAGTCGGATTCGGATGGCTTGCAGATATCGGCGAAGCTTAAGAAACAAATAATGACAAAAAAAAAAAAAAAAAAAAAAAAAAAGCACCTTAAGCCCAAGTAATCGAACGGGAGTAATTTGGCCAGGGACAATACAATCGGGACCGGCGGCTTCCACCATGGCTTCTGTTGCCAATCCACTTCCAATCGGATTCGGATGCTGCAGATATCGGCGAGTTAAGAAACAAATATTGACATGAATAAATTAACAACAGCTTAAAAATAGAGAAGGAAGAGAGAAACCTTCATAACGGAGAGGGCGTAAGTTGAATAAGGAGTTTGAGAGACGCGAAGAACAGGAGAATGATGAATTTTAGGAAGGGGCTTTGATGAGGAGGCTCTCCATGGAGCATCCTGTTGAAGAACAACTCCCTTTTTAGAGATAGACATGCCTCTCCTCCTCGTTTCTTCTTCTTCTTCTTCTTCTAGTCTTTCAGTAATAGGGTTTTAAGATTTTATCAATGGAAGATAAGATCAACAAACAGTTGAATATGTGGGGAGGAACGAATGGGGGGCGGACGAGGAGATGAGGAAACTGCCAATTCTGATTTAATGGATAGATAAATCGATTTTCTGCAATTTGAAGCAGCTCAGCCCCTGAGTTCCAGCTTTTTTTTTTTTTTTTTTTTTAATATAAAATTTTTTTTTTTTTTTGTAATATAAAAATTGATTGTCAATCATTTTTTATTTTTACTATTTTTTGTGGGTTACGGTTCATTTTCAATCATTGGCATCATATAATTTATTAATTCGCACATTGGAGAGGAGAGAAGGGGAAAAAAAATCATATAACTGATTTTTGTTAGTTTTTCTTTTATTATTTTGCAAGCAAAAAAGAATAAATAAAAAGTAATCTTTCAAAGATGATTTGCTTTTTAATTGGTTCATTATGAAGCTAATTTCCGTGCTAATGCTCAAATTAAAAAACAATTTCACATTTTTTTTTTTTGCCAATTTATATAAACAAGAAAAGTTTGAAAATAGACTTAGACCAAAACAATACAAAATGATCGTTATCACTAGGAGTGTAAATGAATCGACTCGGTCTGCGAACTGTTCGTATTGAGCTCAAGCATGTTCATTTAACAAACAAACTAAGCTCGAGTCTAATAATATTTAGTTCGAAAACTCTTCAGGCTTCATATATATATATAATATTATTTTAAGTTGCTCAAGCTTATAATTTTTTAAGTTGAACTCAAACTTCAAGTCCATTCAACTCCACTTCGAGCTTTCATCGAGCCAAACTAAATTCTATCGGCCGAGTTTCGAGCTCTGCTCATTTACACTTCCAATTATCACAAATTTAGCATTAGGCAAGAAGATTCAACAAATCTACTCTTTTTATTGGTGCGAAGTCCCTAATTAAAATTCCCAGCCCCTATTCCAAAGAAAAAAAGAGAGAAAAAAAGTTACTTCATTTGCAACAAAATCTCAGCAGAGTAAGAGCTCTTATAAAATAAAGAAGAAAAATAAGAGCAAAAAAAAAAAAAAAAAAAAAAAAAAAAAAAAAAAAAAAAAAAAAAAAAAAAAAAAAAAAAAGAAATCATAAGAGTAAATACTCCAAATCATTCTTCATGTGCAGCATATTACAAATTCAATCCATTTTAAATTACATTTATGGCTGCCAAAAAAAAAAAAAAAAAAAAAAAAAAAAAAAAAAAGAAATCATAAGAGATACTCACAAATCATTCTTCATGTGCAGCATATTACTAACATTCAATACATTTTAAATTACATTTATGGCTGCTATTTCTGATATCTTTTAGGGATTGGATTGAGATCAAAAAATAAAAGATGAACAAGAAACAGAAAAAAAAAATTTGCAAAAGAATAGCACCAAAATGGGGAGGAGAACTCGCATTAGTCTCCAATCCACACATTTTTGTTTATGGTGGATCGATCACCCAACCCAGAGAAATCAGTCAAACAGTGACCATATCTTCTCCCCCTCTCTGTGCTGCTGCGTCAGCGAGTCTCTTCCATGTTAATTGGCGCTGCTCTTCCACATCTTTGGCCCTAGACTCTTTCTCTTGATACTGCCTCTGACACTCTTCAAACAACTCAGCATCCATTTCCAAGAACATTTTCCGAACATTAACCGTAAGTCCATGAACCGCCTGGTTCCAGTGAGTCCGGATATTCTTCTCCAATGCCTCGAAAATTATTGGCAATATCACACTACGATTCTGGGCAATCAAACTCACTATGTGTTCATTGTTCCACAAAAACAGGGCCCTTTCTGCAACCTGCAACACACAACTTGCCTAAGCAAAATTTTTAACTGAAAAGGAAGATGCTACTCAGATTCAGATTTACATCTCTTCAGATTACTCCAGGAATTTTTATCGCTCAACATAACAAAGCATAAAGCCATGAACAAAGTTAGATATCAAACTTTAGTATTTTTAACATTATTCTTACCTCAGGGAGGCTCCCTACAGAATCAAATCATGGCTAATGTTGCTATGATATGACATTGAACACCATTTTAAAACACCAAATGCAGCTTTACCAGAGTATAGTTCATTGATAAGAGCATGAAAAACTCGGAAAAAAACCAGTTTCAGTTTTAAGGGAGAAGACATATTAGGGAAAAATTGGAGGTGGAAAAGGTAAACTTCAGGCCAACTGATAAGAAACCTCCTAAGTCCTAAGCTCATCAAAGAATCATAGTGGCTTTCCTAAAAATATATTACAAATGTACCATTTGTATGATGAAGGTGTTAATGACTCACCTTACAGGACCAAATATTTCTCAACATAAATAGGATATTACAGTATAAAATCACAGTGCATTAGTAACTGCGCAAGTTCTCTGGGATTGCTAGAACTGACCAAGTAAGTCCAGACTAATATCATGCGAAAAAGAAACAAAGCGAAAGCAATGTGAAGGTATAAGGAAATTCTTAATCTTGTATTTGTTACAATGTTGTCATATGGTTGCTAGAACGCATAAAATTCAGGGAAACAAAAGCTAAGAAACAACACAGCCACACCACATGCACTATATAATAACAGCATACTCATTAGGTACTAAGTAGTTAAGAAAAAATTCTCGAGGGATGGGAGTAGGATGAACTGAAGTTTAGATGGCAACAAGCAGGCAGCAATCTGAGTTGCTCATCAGCTATTGAATAAAAGATAGGAAATGTGCGAACAAGATGAAAGAGACAGAATAATGGTTGTTGGAACAAATTGGTATGGGGAACTCCACTACACTGGAATAAGAGAATTGGCAAAAGACTTCTGAAGCCAAACCCCAATGAATGCACATGCATTCTTAACTCTGATAGGATTTAAAATTAAATTCGTAGATAGATAGAATAACTCATATTCTAAGAATAAATCCACTTCAAATCTCATTAATTTTTAGATTAATTTTTAACAAATTAACAGCGTTGTACATTGTTTAAGAGAAAAACCCTTAAGATTCATCAAAAGCCTGATACTAAAGGCAAGACTACAACTATAATGAATAATTACAACTGCAAGCAACCAAGAGACTCAAAGTGCAAATTCAGTGCTACTAGAAATAAAGTGTCAAAACAAATTAATCAAGGGCATAAATAAGTTAAAATAGTTAAATTGCATGAAGTACAGAAGACCACCTCATCCATTGGGTGGTTAGTTATCCACAAATTATATCTGACTAGATGGGCATTTATGTCTCCCTATGAATTTTAATACTAATTGAAGAAACACCACCAGATTAATGGGAAGTAAAAGAAACCCATGAGCAAAGTCGATGGCTACCTTTTGAAAATATTAAGCAAGAAACTTCCCCCAACAAATAGTAAGTAATGTTCTTTTTTTTTTTTTCCAATTTACCTCCCAAGAGAATGTCAGCCTATATAGTATATTACTATCATAAAACAAGAAGACAAGAATTAAATGCCAAATCCATGGTACCACAACCGATGCAGCCAACAGAACAAATTGCAACTAAACTTGAAAATATTACACTTCAATATACAGAAGCAATAATTACAATATACAAGGCAATATAACAAGTGCAAGGCATGAATCAAAAAGAGGAAGTGTGTAACATGGGAAAAGAAACAAAGAATTGAAAATGCAATACATATACAAAAACAGGCAATAGAGGAAACCATTAAAAACCTGGTCTAAGAAATGCATGAACTTTTATCTTAATAACGAAATTAGCATTTTAGATTTCTAAACACATAATAAATACATCTCAAGGCACCCTTCAGAACCAAATTATCCAAATTCCCAAATTACATATTTAAAAGCATAGCTCTAAAGAGAAGGGTAGCATTCACAAACCTGAAAATGGGAACTAGTGAGGCAGCGAGCAATCTGTCTGAAAAGAGGAACCATGCAGCGCTGAAACTCTGCAGACTGAGTTGCCTCCAACACTTCTTCAAGTTCTCCAAGGAAGAGAACTTCCTTCTGACAATTAGTCAGAGGCCAATACTTCAACAAACCCCTAATAACTGTATCTGCAAGCTTGTAATCCTTTTCAACAAACTGGACAATACAATAAGACAGCTGCTGATGATACAGAGATACTGGCTTCGGTTTATGCAGTGGTAAAAGTGCCCTTACAAGAAACAGTTTATGCTCCTCCTTCATTGGCAGTGCAAAACCATTTATAATACTCCCTAGAATCTCCAAGAGTTCCCCTATGCCACTGTGCCTCTCCGTCTCATATATAAACCGATAGAATATATTATTTATTGCCTTCCTAATAAATGGGCGGTGCACCATGAACTTGCCATAAATCCTATGAAGAATGGTCTTCAAATACTCCCTCTCTCGCAGGTCCTCAGAATCAAACAAATCAAGCAATTTCAACACAAAGGAATGATCAATATACCTCTTGGCAACCTTTGTATCTGTATCAGATGACACAACATATCTTAAAAGAAGCTCATAAACAAGCTGCAAATGAGGCCACGAGGGTTCTAAATAAGGCTCATCCTCTTCAGGATCATTAGCTTCTTGACCTGTGTTCTCATGAGAAGCAGGGGGCAAGCAACGGAGTATATTCACCGAAACCATTCTAATCATTTCCTCCTGACAGGTCTCCGTTATTTTTCCAGACCCAGATTGAATAAAATCCACTAATTCCAATAGCGTTTGTCTTTTGATTTCCTTCTCTCGGACAGATTTTAGTGTATCGCTAAAATCCAACTGGAAGCAACAGATTTGAAGCTTCCGGAGAAACAAATTTTGTCGCTCCGACATAGGCACATCCCGGAACAGAGGGAGGGCCTCCATAGAATTCATTGGTGGCGGGGCCACGACTGACGCGCCGGTGTTAGGACTTACTGAGCCAGGGCCAGTACGTGACGCATGGTTAACCACCACATTTGAAGCAGGACCCGACCCAGTATTGCGGGGCCCCGGTGGCCCAAACGCATAATCGTTAGCTTCAGATTTGGAGGGCTTCTTATGCCCTCCTTTAATAATTTTCTTCAACATTTCTCAATGCAAACAAACCCTAACCCTACAATTAATATCTCTAATTCTAATATTATTAGAAAGGAACCGAGCGGTGATCCGGGCGGGGATGCTCGGTCGAATTCCGATGGATCGGCATGCATGGAATAATAACCATCCTTAAAAGCGGATCAAATCAAATGATTGATCCAGCCATAACAAATCATAAACAAATGGATCTGATATAAGAATTAGAAAGGAATTGTACCGATTTACGAAACGAAACGCAGAAGAATCTGTCCTCACGTGAATCCAAATAGCGAGTCATTTGAAACCGATCGCCGGAATGCTGGTCAGGTGATCGGACGGCGAAAATTAATCCGAGTAGAGACTCCGCGAGAGAGAGAGAGAGGGCGAGAGCAAGAGGAAAAACAACAAATGAGAAATTTTAGAGAGGGTGAAAGGAAAGGAGATAATTTTAGAGAGAGAATAAGGATAATTAAGGAAAACGAAGACTAAACCAAACCAGAGGGAAATTTTTGTAAAGCAATCATTACATAATGAAACGCTTTTTAGTTGTAAACAGTTGTTTTAAAGGATCGTTTTATCTTGTTATCAATTAATTAACTAATAACTACTACTATATTTCTCTGCTCTGTTAAACCGTTTTCAATTTTGCATAAAAATTAAGAAAATAATTAAAATTACCATAATTTAAAATATTTATATATAATTTAACTAAATTACGTTTTAATTAATACTCTTCCAGCAAAATATAATCCGAGAGTTATTTTTTTTAATTCCTATTTGCTGTATTTTTAATTTTTAATTGAATAATAAAAAAGATATTGTTCCTTCAGTTCACGTGAATTATAAAATATGAAAATAGTAGTGTAAATAAGACAGACCTTATCAAAGTTTTGGGTTAAAAAATTGTTTAAATACCTTTGAAAAGTTTAATGAACCAAGCTTGAAAGTATTAGATAATCATAAAAAATGATTTTGTAAACGAATTACAATTCTTTTTTTATATTATAAACTGTAAATAAATTGAATTTGAGCTTTAATTTTTTTTTAAATCAACATATTTCGAATTTACACTTTTAAACGAGTGAACTCGAACTTCTCAAATTTAAATTGAGCTTAAGTATACCTTTAACTTAGCTCGTTAAAGCTTGATAAAATCTTAATTATGCCCGATTCATTTACAATGCTAGAGGAAAAAAAAAAAGCATAAATGTAATATCTTTAAGGTTAAATTTACTAATCAATTATAAAATTAATTATTAGATATGTAAATCATAATTTTAAACTTGATAAGAGGGTTAAGTATTGCATGATTTATTTTTATTGGTACAAAAGAAAAAATATCAGTGCTCCGTTTATTTCCGTAAAATAATTTACAGAAAAATAATTTGCTGAACAATATTTTCTATGGAAAATATTTTCTTTCACAAATATTTTTCAAATGACTTATTTTCTGTTGTTTGGTTGTAATATTGAAAATTAATTAAAAATATTAAAATTTTTATCTCATAAGATCATTAAAAATATTAATAATAATAGAAATTCTATAATTTAAAAATTAAAATTTTTATCTCATAAGATCATTAAAAATATTAATAATAATAGAAATTCTATAATTTAAAATTTTTATTGTTAAATATGAGAAAAATGCAAAAAAAAAATTATGAAAGCTGCCGATAGTAAATAGTGAATGGTGGCAATGACTATAATGATTAATAAATTAAACAAATATGGACTTATAAGATTTTTCAATGTCCGAAAAATGTTTTATTCTCTAAAAAATGGAAAGTTATTTTTGTCAAAAAATGATTTAATTTTCCTTTGACCGCCTAATCTGGCCCGGGGCTTAATCACAATTAATGCTCCTCGATTCTCTTGAAGAATCAAACTCGAAAACTCTTTCTATATATCCAGCCAGCCTGCTTTGCCAACTGAGCTATAATCCGTAAGTGGACAATATATATAATTATTATATATATATATATATATTATATATAACTTTATATATATATATATATATATATATTATAGCTGATGTAATACAATTTTTTAATGCTAATCATTTGGATTCTTGTCAACATAAATAAAGCAATTTGTATTGGTGTACAATAATTAACTAAAAATTGCATTATTTCTATTGTTATTTTTTTTATTTTAATTGAATATCTATATTTGAAGATATTTAGGAAATTTTTTGCTTACATGTTCTAAACCCGATTAAGAGAAAAAGTCAAATTCTATTAGTTTGACCTTTTCTATCTTCCATCCCATTTCATGATGCAATTTAATTAAAGCATGAAGGATTAGTTAAAGGCTTCTTAATTATGACATCACATGGAAATATCTAAACATGCATATAATAACAAATAAAAACAAAAAAGTCTTTATAAAAAATGGGAAAGCTGTGATGCAAAGTGTAGAATTTGTGTTTAATTGACTCTGCATACATGTGGTTTATTATATTCGAATGAAATGATTTTGGAAGTAGCAAATCAAATGTAGTCTGATCGGTGTTTCGCTTATGCCGAAAGTATGATAGGAGGTATTAGGTATATTTGTCTTAACTAGTCTACCTGGTCTGTCAAGATTGCATTGCTAATTCCATAGCAAAAATATGTTTAAGTCAAATAAGTTTACAGCTCTAATAATTTAATTATATGATAAGATAATGATATTGTTCTTATCCAATTAAGATAATATATGTATTAGCTGATGTAAGATGTGCAATTAATTAATGCTAGCCTTTTGCACTCTTGTCAAATATACATAAAAAGCGATTTGTATTAATGTACAATAATTAACTAACTCTAATATTACTTGATTTGCAAATTATCCCCCTGCTGCTGCTGGATTGTGCACTAACGGGCTACCGGCTACGGGCCACCTGCCCATTTTTTTGGCAGAACTCTGACGTTGGGCTTGGGCTTTATTGACAACGTTCACTTTAAAAGCTGGCCCGAAAATAAAGCTATTCTAAGCCTGACCCAAAATGCATGTGCATTTGCGCATACAAGGTTAAGAACACTTGCATTTTTTTTAATAACGTTATTTTTAATTAATTAATAATCAATTATTAAAAACTTAATTATTTTAATTATTTTAAATTATTAATAAATTATTCAAAAACTAAGAATATTATAGAATTTTTTATATTTTAGGAAGATTATTGTCCGTTATATATATATTTTATAATATAATTATTTATCGAAAAAACAAGCTCAACCTAACGTTATCTATGGACAAGCACATTCCATGTGGCTGTCCACAACCGTGGTTAGTGGATTGCCTTTTTGCCTAAAACACAAGCCTCCGACATCATTCCAATGTATAAAGGTCAATCAAACTACATCAAAATTTAAAATTTCCTTGTCGTTTATTAATAATGGTGGGGTTCATTTTTGATTATGAAAAAAGACTTGCAAGGGAAGACCAGCCAAGAAATAATGAACCAAAGAACTCCTTTAACCTTTAACCTTTAACCTGTCAAATTTGAAAAGGAAAAAGAAAAAACCCAGAAATGTAATGTCTCTGTCTCTATTACTTTCCATTTTGGCCAAAGTATACAAGTCCTTTTCGCATGCTCTAATTTTGTCGTTTCCACTGAACGGCAATTTAATTTTTGATTCCTACCGCGTTTTAGACCAAACCGTATGGGACCAGACCGTGTGGGCCATTGATAATTTAGATATTAAGGTAAAAGTATATAAATTAACATTTATGTCTCTTCTAAACGTTATAATAGCAAACAATACTACTATTGTTAATTTAACCATCTAATTGATCAGTATAACTAAATTTGGTCAACCATGGAACCGGCGGCCAAGGTGGTAGTACTGCCGGTGCTCGGGTTTCCATGACCGTTTCCGGCGCCTTCCACTGGTACTTGTGATTTAATCTCTTTCAACTGTACATTACCAGCTCCACTTGAAACTGTTTGACCAATCTCAGTATCCTTGACCTGCTCTCTAAATTTCTTATAAATGTCACCTTGGTAGAATTTTCTTGTCCTAACCACCAAAATAGAGGAAATAACGCAACCAAACAGAGTTGCTGCTGTAATTATAAGGAAAGCCATTTTATAACACTGCACACCGCTGCATGTCAAGTACTTCCCTGCTTCTCTTTTTAGGCCTAAACCCTCAATTTGCTTCAATGCTTCTTTATCATATAAATGGCCAGCCACTCTCACATTTAGAATATATGAACCAACTGGGCTAGCGACAGAACCAAAATTATACAAAGTTGAGTAATACTTCAGGCCAAAAATTTCAGATATTATAGCGAACAGCAATGGCCATTGAGCTCCAAAGCAGAACCCAATAATTACTGAAGCGAAGTAGAGAGAATTTGGAACACCAAAAGCAATTAGAAGATGACCAACGCAAGAGAAAAGAAGAACAAGTGTGAATAATAGAGGACGAGGGATTTTGTACTTTGTTAGCAAGAATTCAGAGGCGAAACCAGCCACCGCTCGACCCAGATAGTTCCATATACTAACTAGTGACACGAAGGTTGTGGTGCTATGGCTTGGATAGCCAAGAGAGTTGCCAATTTGACCTAGATTGTCAACGGCTGTCAATGTTCCGCCAACCCCACAAGTTGTTGCTATGAATAGTATTAACATGTCAACACTAAAAAGTGCTTGCAGAATTGTGTAGTCTTCACCTCTATTTGGTGGGTTGAAAATGTTGTTCGTGCAAGAAGGTTGTGCCCGCGGTGGTGATGATGATGATACTTCTACTGAGGAAGGATTTTCTTGAGTTATTACTTTTATTGAAGACTGGTTAGCCAAAGCTGCTTTCTTGGACTTCCGGACGTGGTATTCTTCTTTGATGACGACAACTATTGGGAGAAAAAGTAGTAAAAGAACGATGGAAGAGCTACCAATGTACTCAATTCTAGTGAAATTGAACTTATTCTGCATGATAATTAAAACCATAAGAAAACCAGCAAGACCAAGTGAAATATAGAGGAGCTTGTAGAAAATTTTAAGCTCATTTGCCTGGCGAACGACTTCGATTATCCGAATTGTACGGAGAAATATGAAGGAAATAGCAGCAGGAAGCCAAGCAATAAGCAAGATAAGAGATTTGGAATCATATCCATACAAAGCATGGTAAATTTGAGTGAAAATTGCTCCACTTAGACCAACAAAGCTCTTCAACAACCCCAACACAGCACCTCTACTTTCTGGGAAATTTTTTACACAGGTGACTAAAGCTCCTGTATTAGCAAAAGCTTGAGAATTAGCTCCAATGCAAATATAAAGACACATCTGCCAAACTTTTGGTTTTGGAATATGACCAGTAACAGCAAGCCAAATCATAAAATAACCAAAGAAATTCATTATTGCTCCAATTGACAGAACTACCCATGGTGGAGTAACTTCATTGATTAGCCCTGACAAGACTCCTACATTACCACCCAAATCTTTAAAAAAGCTAAGCAAATTGAGTGTCGTTTGGTCATAACCTAATGACGTTTTGATATCATTAGAGTATAAACCAAACATGTAAGTTGCACCAGCCACAGCCATGATCAAAATAGAGGCAAACACCATAAACCATCTTCCCAAAATCATTTTCAAGAAAAAACCCTTCATTTCTCTCCACCCACCACCGCTGCCGGTGAAATAAGCCTCCACCATTATATATATATAGAAATATCCAAGAAATGTTATAAAGAATCTGTAAGAGTGGAGTGGCTAATGATTTGAGCTGGTTAACAATACTTAGTAGTGTATATATACACAGAAAGAAGGGGAAGGTACTAACTTTGTTGGGCTCAAAGGTGAGATGAGAATAAGCATAAGGAGAGTTTCAAATGGAGTTGAAATGTAGGGCGGTGGGCTCTCCTAGAAGGTAGGATTTAAAAGATGAGGAGATCAAAATGTTATGGGATCACACATGTAACATGTTGCAATTATATGACGAGGGAAAAGACAAGACAATACATATACAATTACGTCCACAACTTTTGTTAGCTCCCTCCATATCTGTGAGGTATGAACTGTCTTTCCATGCCACTCGTATATACGACTTATACACAGAAGTGACCGAGCCAGAAATAAAAAGATAGGTGTGAAAATAAAAATTCAAAATACAAGAGGAGCAAAATTACAAATTTTTATTATCGGTTACGGGTTGAAACCACCTTTTAACACCCTTTTTCTCCGTCGTTCAACTCCGTTGTATAAATTAATAAATTTCTTGCTATTAGAGTAATTTGGTAGATTTGGGAAAAACTCATTAAGTATACTTTTTGATTTGGATGGTAAATTTTTAGTGAGCATTGATTAACTAATTATGAGATAATGATGTATCTAATCGAGCAAATGTTAGCTAATTGTATTTTGATTTCTAGAACGATATTCTTCATTGTACCTACCAAAACAACAATAGTATGTATTCTTTATTGGATGCTCTTTGAATTCAAAGATTCTGAAAATAGAAGTTTTGTGATATTATGATCTTCATCTTAATTTTATCCATTTAATTTTATTAAAATAAATCCTACCATTATAATTACATCTCTTTTATTGCATCATTAATCTACGTATGCAAGAATAAGAATTTTGTATGGAAAATACATGCCATATATAAAAAGCATGATATATAGTATTTATTATTATTATTATTATTATTATTAGACTGATTGCATTTTATCTTTTAGTCAATTTTTGGAAATATAAAGTTATTCCTGTTGTATAATTCAAAGAATCTTGTAAAGAAGTAGAAGGAATAAAGAATAAAATTTGTTTATCTAGTCAAAATATAAATTCTAATAGTAATGTGAAAAGGAAATTATGGATAGGAGACAAAAAGAAAATCTATTCCTAAATATGAATAATATTATTAGTTTGTTACTCAATTATTCAGTTAAAAATTAATTTCTGCATATGTTCAATCGAGAAATTGTAACTCTGATTAATATGTTGGTCTAATGATAATAATTATTTTTTACCTTTTTAGTAAATGTATATCTCGAAGATTGAATATACATTCTCATCTTTACGCATATTGGCTGCTAATTTTCATTCTGATGAAAATATTGTGATATGTTATAAGTTATCTGAATGTGATTATTCCACATGTATCGAGTCAAATCCTATAAAATGAACAGAATAGGTGCAAAATATGTAGAATCCAAAAACTAGAGGTATCTCCAAAAGATACCTCCCGTGTTTTGATTTTTGAATGATGTGGTGATCCCTATTAAGAAACTACACGTCGTTTATACATTCTTGAACCAATTTTTCATGTATGAAACCAAGTATACCCTCCAAATGATCTTATCTTTAAATTCTTTATTAGAGTTAAACGACAAAAACAGTAGGAGCTGAACTAAGCTCTCACCAGACCGAAACCAATGTGAAATCACCAACTCTACAGCGAACACACTTGTTCATACACATGGCCAGAACTTTTAAGCGAGGGTGTGTTCTATTCTATTCATGCACCCACTTTTTTTTTTTGTCGACAACGTCTTGTACCAAACCCATCATTTAGGTTCATTGATTTCTTTGGATTAATGCTCATTTTTCTGTTTTTGGTACATCATTTTCAATTTTTCTTGTGACGTGGAAGGACTTTTTTTTTTTGGTTGAATTATTGGAAGCAACTGTTTGATGTTTGATTTCTTTGAATTTTTTATATTTTATATTTTTCATTAAAATTTATAATTTAATTGAATTCCATATCATTATATTTGAAATGTATAAATTTAAAAATTGAAAATTATTGCTTTTATTTTCAACATTGTAATATGATAATCTTAGAATTTAGAAAGTTAAGAGGATAGATAGTTTATCATAAGATTTTGGATCACTAATTATTACTTCAATTTAATAATTTTCTTAAAAAATTAATATTAAATTAAGGATAATATAGTCAATTTACCCAATAATTTATTGTAACTTAAACAAATTTAATTATTTTCTTGCGGAACTTGAAATTTTAAACGTAACAAGTAATATGAAACTGAGTTGGTAGTTTCTAAGTATCTCTAAATCATAAATTAAGATTCCTTTACACTTTTTGAAGTTCAATTTTATTATATTCTTAAATCATTAATGAAGTTTTAAAATTCTTCCATTATTAGTGTTTTATGTCGACTGATTTTGATTCGTGGCTGTGGTGGTGGTGGCCTCCTCCAATTGAAGAACCTCTGCATTTCTTGAAACTGGATCAATTTCCACCTCCATTGCTTGCTCCCTAAACTTCTTATAAATATCACCTTCATAAAACTTTTTTGTCCTTTGCACCAAAATAATTGAAACAAGAAAACCCAAAAAGCTTGACACAGTAATTATAACAAAAGCCAGCCTAAAACAGTGGACTCCATTGCAAATCAACTCCTTCCCTTTTTCTCTTTTGAGCCCCAAAAGGCTCATTTGTCTTATGGCCTCTCTGTCATACAAATGACCAGCAACCTTCACATTGAAAATGTAAGACCCAACTGGGCTTGACACTGACCCAACACTATACAATGTAGAGAAATGTTTAAGGCCGAACATTTCTGATATAATTGCAGAAACTAATGGTAATTGTGCTCCAAGGCAAAACCCAAGGATAATTGAAGATAAGTAGAGAGAATTAGGGACTCCAAGAGCAATTAAAATGTGACCAACACAAGAAAATAGGATAGTAAGAGTAAGAATTACTGGTCTAGGGAATTTGTACTTTGTTAGTAGTGTTTCAGATAAAAAACCTGCTAGGACTCTACCAAGGAAATTCCATATACTTATTAGGGATATGAAGGTAGATATATTATTTTCTTTGTAGCCTAATGAATTTGCAATTTGACCCATATTGTCAATTGCTGCTAATGCCCCACCAACACCACAGGTTGTTGAAATGAATAGAATTGTCATGTCAATGCTGAAAATTGCTTGCAGGATAGTGTAGTCCTCACCTCTATCAGGTTTTTTGAAAATGTTATGAAAGCAAGAAAGTAGGTCCACTTTTGCTTGTGCTTCTGCTGGTGGGTTTTCAGCTGAAATATTCAATTGAGTGTTGTTGTTTACGAATTTGTTGATTTGTCTGAGAGAGAATTCTTCTTTAATGACAATAACAAGTGGAAGAAGAAGTAATAGGATAACAATTGTAGCACTTCCAATGTACTCAGCTCTAGTAAATTTGAGCTTGTTTTGTATGATAATGATGATCATTATAAATCCTGCTAGACCTAGTGCATTGTAGAGGAAGTTATAGAAAACATTAAGCTCTTTTACTTGTCGAACGACCTTCTTGATACGAATTGTTGGAAGAAAAATCAATGGAACAATGGTTGGAAGCCAAGCTATTAGCAAAATAAGAGACTTGGAGTCAGTTCCATAGAGAGCATGGTAAATTTGAGTCATAATTGCACCACTTAGACCAATTAGCCCTTTCAGGAGGCCTATAACACTGCCTCGGCTTTCAGGAAAATTACTGACACTTGTGACTAATGCTGCAGTGTTAGGATATGATGCTGAATTTGTTGCAAGGCACATATACAGACACATTTGCCAGATATGGGGTTTTGCTATGTGGCCAGTGACTGATACCCATATCAAAAAATATGCAGAGAAGTTCATTACTGCGCCGATGACAATAACTACCCAAGGTGGCGTTACTTCATAGACTAGACCAGCTGAAACTCCAAGATTGCCTCCTAAGTCTTTGAAGAAGCTTAGAATGTTAAGTGTAGTTTGATCATAGCCTAATGATGATTTGATCTCGCCGGAGTATAGACCATACATGTAACTTGTACCATTAACAGACATAATCAAGAGTGAGGCAAAGACTATAAACCATCGACCGGTAAATATTTGCAGGGCAAGACTATTCATTGCCATTTCTTTTCTGGATATGAGACTATTGGTTGTCTCCCTTATGTATATGCTAACAAAAGCTGACTTTCTTGTTATATTCTATAATAATCAGTATGATTTTCCTGAAATTTTTATTATTTAATGTACATTTCCATGGTAGCAAGGATATATAGAAAGCCTCGGAACTAATCGTATATGCTTCTGTTGTCCTGTTGTGATGATTGGACTTGATTGCCATATTAGGCAAAGAATCGAATTTTCTATTCTCTTGGCAGGTCAAATTTAAACAATAAACTTATTTTATCCATCAAGTGGGACTTCATTTATTCATCTAGCTGACATAAGTATCGATGGATGATGGTGAAACTTTTGGCAATCATTCATGTGTTTGCATTTGGAGGAAGCTGTCAAGGTGAGTCAGATTATTCTCATTTTGAATTAATTTATTAAGTAGGCCTATTACCATTGAGATTCTAGTATATTATAAGGACTAGAATGAAATTAACTAATAAGTTTTGTTTCTGTGGTAGTAGGCTACTAGCCAGAGTCGTTGCTAATTGTGAGATACTAAGGTTGACTCTAATCAAAACCAAATTAACCAACAAAAATGTACATTAGATGTTCAGGAGTTTAAGCTCTTTAATTTTGTTTTTGTCTGTATATAGTTGTTTTTAGCTTATGTTATGTTGGGCTTGAAGCTGATTGTAGTTTCTGTTTCTTCATCCAAGAAAAACTGTCCCGGATACTCATGTCTATCTTGTCTTTGCCATTGTTGGATAATTTAAGCAAAAATCAACTATTGAGACGACCAAGGTCATTTTAAAAATGATCAGATAAGAAAAATCAAATCTTGTTGCAAATAATATAGATGATAGCCGGCTACATTGTATATATGCTTAAGCTTAAGTTAACTACCTGACATCTAGTATAAGCTAGCTGCATATTTTTGTGCAAATATTTTGTAAAAACTTCTGATTTTTTAAAAAAACAACCAAATCAAAGGAATTCCTGGACAGAAGAAAATGGATTGGCTTTGTGAGAGGGGGGAAATAAAGAGATAAGAGGAAGGGAGAGAGGTCTTGTCGTTTTGATGTTCATGAGTACAGCCAAGAAAGAAAAAGTTAAAAAATGAGAGAGCGAGTGACAGAAGGGTGTCAAAGAATGACAGGATTTTAAGTTGGGTTTATTTTGAAATTTCCTATATAGTCTACCCAATTTGGTGTGGTGGGAAAATTCCTACTCATTGTTAGATTAATTAAACTTCAAGTGAGTACTTTTTGGTTAATTAAACTCTAATTTTATCAATCTTGCAACCTCTTGACATAATCTCAGTACTGCTAGTCAAAACTTATATACCAGATTTTAGTTTATTGAATTCTTAATTTCTTATATTATGGTATTGACACTTGAAATACTCGTACTTTGAGTTGATAACAGCACCATGCGGAATTTAAAAGATAAAGAAAAGAAAATATATCATCTATGTAAGTCAGATTCTCTTGTTTTCTCCACAAATTTTAGAGTTAGCAATAATGTGGTGCTACTGATTTAGAAATAACAAACTTTAGTTGCAAATGTCCTTTGAGAGTCTGTAATTTTGATGATTACAGCTGCAGTTCAAAATTGAAACAACCACATGTGAATCTCCCTCAAATTCTATATTCCATGACCATGAGGAGAATAAGAATGCAGGTTTGCAACTATTCTCTTCCCCTAATTGATAAGGAAAAGGACCTGGAATTAAAGAAGTTAATTAGAATGGATTTTGATCCAACTTAAATTTCAAAGAAGACGAGTAAAAATTTCACACAAACCATTATTTTGTCCTGTAATAGCTAGATAAGTAAGTAACACCCATAATACAAGGATGTTTATTGTTTATGACAGTTAACACCCAACACTAGCATCTTTTGTCTTTAACTTGACAAAACTAGCTACTTAGGCTCTTGATTCGTCCGGAGTCATACCTTATTTTTGTCTTTTCTGCTATTTTTCATGCATATGGTTCTTCTACAAGTCATCGGTTGCCGGCTGAATTACTATTAATTTGACCACAACATTGTCATCTCTTGTTTCTATCACTATAAGTTTGTTGACATATATCTGCTGGAAAGGGTGAGGGTAAAATATTAAGCTATGGAGGATCCTAAGAGACTTGAAGAAGGGTTAGGTCATACAAACGTTGATGAGAATAAAGACCAGAATGAGCAGTTGAGCGAGAATGTGAATAAAAGTAATGTTGGAGATCATGGCATTAAGCATGAAAAAGAAGAGACAAGTATAGTGGTTGAACTGCAAGAACAACCACCAGTAAAGCAGAAGACTAAGAGAGTTGCAACCTTGGATGCATTTAGAGGGCTTACAGTAGCAGTAAGTTATCTCGAAGTATATTCAGTCAACTATTATTAGCATTCATGTCAAGCAGCTTTTGCTTGATGGTACTAGAGTTTTGAATGTGAAGTTAGAAGCAAGGACGGAAGTAAAATTTCAAATTATAGGGGTCCAAGGCAAAATTGGAATGAAAAATATATAGATTGTTAAAATTTCTAAATTTTGGCGGGGCCATAATGAATTTTTTCATTTTTATTTTATTTTTTGAAAAAAACTACTTAAACTATATGGCAAAAACACAATATAGCAATAGAGGGCCTTCACTCTTAGGTATAGGTTCTCCTTAAATATAAATGTAAAAGATGATCTATAGGTTGTTATATGAGTATAAAATTGGGTTGGTGCATGTAGTTGATGATATTGGTAGATAATGCTGGAGAATCATACCCAAGAATTGATCACTCGCCATGGAATGGATGCACATTGGCTGATTTTGTGATGCCATTTTTCCTCTTCATTGTTGGGGTGGCAATTGCGCTGGCTTTCAAGGTATTACATTCTCTTTTGTATTATTATGATAATTTTTGCCTTGCTCTTGTCATCTTGTTTTTAGATCTTATTGTTAACTGAGCAGGAGAATCTATTATCCATGTGTAGCCATATATATTCCTACAAACTTACTGATTTAGCTATGTCACTTTCGAAACAACCTTAATCATCTATTAATATTTTAGCTATGTTACTTCCAGAACAACATTAACTTAGGTGATCGAAAGGATAAGATATGGTTTTAAACAAATGTAGATAGTATATGTTTGATTAAAGGTAATGGAGTGTAATAGAATTTATTGCATTGAATTGCATCTAAGTGTGAAGTTTGCATCCAAGAACTGTTGGAGTTTTGGGCAAAGAAGTGAAGGAGAAAATAACATTATCTGCAGAACTTTTACAAAACAAGTTCAGGAGTAAAGAAAGAAACAAATTCTGCAGATTTTAGGCTTCAAAGGAGGAGAATTATGACAAATATTATTAAATAGAAGTTTTCACAGTGGGCATGATTCATCGATCAAGTTTCACACTTAAATACAAAAAAGTTAAAGTACTCCAAGTATGGTTTGCTGTCAATCCCATACTTGCCCATACTTTTACCCATACTTCATAACTTATCTCATACATAAACTATCTAAGCCATACTTCTAAAACTGAAAAGCTGCAAACATAATACAATAATAATAAACGAAATATTTTCATAATGTGACAGCAAGAATGCCATAGCCTTCAACAAGAACAGAACAAAATAAGGAGAAACTATGATAGGATGACTATGGGCTTAATCTTACTCATCATCCTCAACTGCAACTCATTTGTCCTTCAATTTCAATTTGTCAATTAAAACTCATTAAGTATTTATTTGTGTCACAATATTCCCCATGCATGATAATGTGCATCAGTTGTAAATTGAGAGAGAGTGGGTGGAATAAAGTTATTTACTGTGTAAAAAACAAAAATGATAAAAAAATTAATCTGAATGTTGCAGAGAATTTCCAGCAAGAGAGATGCAGTTAAGAAGATAATACTAAGAACATTAAAGCTTCTATTTTGGGGAATTCTGTTGCAAGGTATACCGGTGACAATCATCGCCACTTTTTCACTATTACCTTCATAACATAATTCTCCTTTCCACAAATTGCAGGAGGGTATTCGCATGCGCCTGCTGATCTCACTTATGGTGTTGACATGAAGTCTATCAGATGGTGTGGCATTCTCCAGGTTTTCTCTTAAATCAATTCGTAGGTTGATCGGCATTTTTTTGGGGGGGTTAAGGTTTAACTGTGCTAAAACTGGCAGTCTCATATCCTTGAAGATAATTCCAAGACCATTTATTATAGGAATTGAATATTATGCTAATAGTCAGCTTCTTCATTAATCACTATTTTTTTTTTTTTTTTATACAAGCAGAGAATAGCATTGGTATACATGTTTGTGGCTCTGATAGAGACTTTAACCATCAAGCAAAGACAAACTGTTCTGCAGCCTAACTATTTCACCATTTTCACTGCATATCAATGGCAATGGTACTCTATTTTTATTGCAGCCTTAGCTTTTTAAAACATTATTTTGTATTATATCAGAAATTAATTAGTTATCCTTTGCAATTTAGGATTGGAGGGTTTGTTGCTTTCCTCATTTACATGGTAACGACGTATTCACTCTATGTTCCGGATTGGAGTTTCATTGGATATGAAGATCATGAAGCATACACAGTACGTGGAGAAAAAATTCCATTGCAAGAAAATTGACTTTATAATAATATCATTGCTGATAGTATTGCCATTAAAATTGCAGGTAAAGTGTGGGATGAGGGGACACTTAGGACCAGCTTGCAATGCTGTTGGTTATGTAGATAGAGAAGTTTGGGGCATTAATCATCTGTATCAATTCCCTGTCTGGAGCCGATTAAAGGTTTGTTATGTAAAGGAAATAATTTTGTATACACCTAATCCTCCTTGGAAACTGCAACGCAGAACCAATTGGAACACCATTAACTATTGACTATGAATTACAAAACATTCTTTGATTTAAATCTAGAAATTTTTTTACTAATTGCTAATGATATAAAAAGAAAAAAGACGTTGAGTTTTATGCATTGGAGGTTTCACAACAGGTACTTAACAGCTAAAGAAACATGCATTTACTATCTTGTCATGTAGGCTTGCACTCTTAGCTCTCCAGGTTCTGGACCTCTTCGCGAGGATGCTCCTAGTTGGTGTCGTGCTCCATTTGAACCCGAAGGCTTGTTAAGGTTTTCTAATTTTTCACAACATTGATCAATCCCATAGTTGCAGACAGGGAAATTATGATTATCAACTAACTAAAGAATTTTTTGGTTTTATTTATTTATCGTAGTACAATCTCAGCCATCCTGTCTGGCACCATTGGCATACATTTTGGACATGTTCTGATTCATTTCAAGGTTAGAACTTAAAGCAGCACTTATCTATAAGTTGAATTTGAAGTTGATGAACTGAACAAACAATCTTTTGTCTGCAGAATCACTCTGAGAGGCTCAAGCAATGGGTCTCAACGGGATTTGGTTTACTTATTATTGCTATTATCCTTCATTTTACAGATGGTAAGCTTCAACTTTATGTTCTTGAACCCATAACTATTGTGAAATTTTAACCATGAGAAATAAAAAAAAAAACATTTTAAAAGTCCATTTATCTCTTGCTTTCTGCAGCAATTCCTATCAATAAACAGCTGTATAGCTTCAGCTATGTCTGTTTCACTGCCGGTGCAGCAGCAATTGTGTTTTCCGGTTTCTATATACTGGTATAAAGATCAATTACAGTCAAAAAATTTTTTTACAAAGTTCTAGGGATTTCTATTATATAATTAACTATTGACTGACTCTTCTTTTTATTATGGTTTTTCTTGCGCTGCATTAACAGATTGATGTTTGGGGATTGCGAACTCCATTTTTATTCTTGGAATGGATAGGAATGAATGCAATGCTGGTTTATGTGATGGCTGCACAAGGTATCTTTGAAGGATTTATCAATGGATGGTATTACAAGTCACCTGACAACACACTAGTAAGTTAACTTTTTTATGGTGAAATTTTACCAATCCTGAATGATTTTATTAATTTCTTCAAATGCTCACCTAAATTTATGTTTGCAGGTCTACTGGATTCAAAAACATGTGTTTGTAAAAGTTTGGCACTCAGAAAGGTTAGGGACACTCTTATATGTGATATTTGCACAAATCACATTCTGGGCAGTAGTTGCTGGAATCTTGCATAGATTGAGAATATACTGGAAGCTTTGAGAAGTTAAAATTGCGAAAAGTTATAGTGATATAGAATAGCTGCTTGTAACACTTGTAAAATTCACATAAATGATTACAATGTTGAAGATTGATTTGTCGTGTTACACAGGCTTAGTTGAAACGACAATTAGGGTTTCAATCTCCTATTAAAATTTTAAATCTCTGTATGCTTTTTAGTCTGATGACTGACAAATCAAATGAGTCTAAAGTAACATTATGGATTACATAGCAAGGGAAAGTCCTTTCCTTTAACAAGTCTCATCAATGAAAACTTTAAACACTAACATCAACCAATATTGCTTACAAAGGAAAAACCAATATTGCTTCACTAACATCAAGCTACATAATACTGACGAAAAAAAAAAATTTTAACACTCAATATATGCTTACAAAGGAAAAACCAACTCACCTATTCAGAAGGCAATTGACAATCTCCTTCATCTTCTTGGATATCGGATAATAACGAATAGGAATTAATACCATAGCCACAATAAATATCAGAAAAGGCAGAAGAAGCAAGTATGCAAGATCTTCAGCTTTCAACCTCATCCTAGAAAACACCGATGCTAAGAATAAAAAAATAAAAAATATGGTAGTCAGGTAAGCCAGAAGGCGCAAGCCAGCCAATTTCTCCAAGGTATATTTAGCTTTTGTTGGTAATAGTAGAAGTACTATGAGACAAATTGAGGACATAAGGGCCACACCGTCCAATAACATGAATAAGGTATATTTGTTGTATTTCTTGTCAATGTACAGGAGCTTTGCTATGGAAGCCGTTTCGTTGGAGCTTGAAGAGGTAACATTGGCAGATGAGCTTTGTGTCCAGAAACTGCCTTGTAGGTAAACAGCAACCTGGCAGCAAGCCGCAGCAATAAGTGATGCCATAACAAAAAGTCCGCTTGTTATACTTTTCAAATTTTCGCGTTGTTCGTGACCCTCACTTAACCTTAATCCACCTGCAGATATAAGTATATTTTCTATGTGTCTATCTTTCTTGCTCATGTGATCAACTACTAGAAGATCCAAAGGGGTAAGTCCAGATGAGTTTACAGCGTTCACTTCCAAGCCATGGTAGGTTATCCCTTTCATCAAGAGCTTTACTATCTGTTTTATTGAGGAATATATATATATATAAATATATATACACACACGCGCGCACGCACTTTTATGAGGAATTTATCAAAATTATAGAATTATAATACAAAATGTATATAGTTGTATTTTCAGCAGAATGATTTAGTACCTGAATCTGTTTCCGAACTACGGCCAAATGCAGCACCGTATTGCCTTCTCTATCAGCCAAATTCAATAGATAGTCTGTATATGGTTGTCCAATTAGAACTGTGAAGAGCTCATTAGAAGGAGATAATTTATATTTCACAGTAAGGTGAAATACGGTCTCCCTTTGATCAGTTACCTCTAACATGGATTCTGGACAAGCTTCAAGTAATTTCTTCACGACTTCGACACTACCGTTAATCACTGCATGATGAAGAGGAATTCTTCCATCTTTATCTCCCTTCATACATATCTCTCTTTTATTAATTGCATTCTGATCGGCAAAAGTTAACAGCAACTCTACCGTCTGTAATTGGCCAATGGAAGAAGCTAAGTGTAAAGCGTTGCAACCATTTGGATTGACTAGTTTGAGAAATTCTGGGTTTTCTTCTAAAATTTGCCTTGCATGATTTTCAACAAGTGATGCCATAACGAAGAGTCCGCTTGTTATACCTTTCAAGTTATCACGTCGTTCATGGCTCTCATTTAACCTTATTCCACCTGCAAACATAATCATCGTTTCTATCTCTCTATCTATCTTGTTCATGGGATCAATTACTAGAAGATCCAAAGGTGTAAGCCCATGGGAGTTTACTACGTTCACTTCCAAGCTCTGTTTGTGTTCCCCGAAAATCAAGAGCTTTACTATCTGCATTAGACAATAAAGAATTGAAATTATGAGCTAATACCCAGCTGATAATCGTTCCCAACGGGACCATCCAGCAGCTGAGGATTAAAATCTCTATCAAAATGTTACGAATTCAAATCTTAACACAGATAATAATCAATGTTAATAGTGTTAAGAATGGTACAAAATGACTTGACTTTCATAAAATGACTTGATGAGTACCTGAAACTGTTTCCGAACTATGGCCAAATGCAGAACTGTATTGCCTTTTCTATCAGCCAAATTCAATAGATAGCTAGAATATGGCTGTCCAAGAAGGACTGTGAAGAGCTCATTAGAAGGAGAAACTTTATTCTTCACAGCAAGGTGAAACACCGTCTCCCTTTGATCAGTTACTTCTAAAACCGATTCCGGACAAGTTTCAAGCAATTTGTTCACAACTTCAAAGCTACCGTTAATCACCGCATGATGAAGAGGAATTCTTCCATCTTTATCTCTCTTCACGCAAAGCTCTTTCTTATTAACTGGCTGATCGGCAACAAATGTTAACAGCAACTCTACCGTCTGTAATTGGCCGATGGAAGAAGCTAAGTGTAAAGCGTTGCAACCATTTGGATTGACTAGCTTAAGAAGTTGCTGATTTTCTTCTAAAATTTGCCTTGCACGATCAGTTTCCCCTAACAAGCAAGCTGTGTGTAATGGCGTCCACTCGGACATGTCTTGATTGCGCGGCAAATTGTCCACGATTGCTGCAATAATAGTTCCAACAGCATCAAACACCACGTGTGGCTGCTGCTGATTCATTATGAATATAGATTCCGATTTGCAGCTAAAAACTAAACAAAGACGCTTTATGTTTCCAAACGATCCATTCACAATTAGTGATTCGTCTCGCCTCATGGAATTATTAAAATAAAGTTTTTAAAAAATTATTCCCATCTCATAACAATAATTTTTTGGCACTACTCTCAAACCAATTAAAATAAAATTTTTTTATATTTTTTTTCATTACGCTGATTAGAAATACTCCGTATTAACAAAAATTTCTATTTAATTAGTTGTCATTAATTCATATAAAAATTACAAAGGTCCAACCATGTCTTTTTCTTTTTAAGTCAACAAAGATCCTTTTTTTTTTTTTTTTGAAACCACCCAGTAATCCAGATTAGGATTCTACGTAAACGATCCTCTCAACTCAATTTTCATTTATAATGTCAGAGTTCATATTTTAACTGTTGCTTAAGAAATTCAACGCCTCGTTGGTAGTTGGTGGAAAAATCCAAGTCTTAATTAATAGAAAACTTGACAACTGTATTATTTTTTATGTTTTTGTTTAATTTTCTAAAGGCATGGTTGCAGCATCCATAAATCCATATTATAGCAATTGACGTTACTTACTCATTATTAAAAGACTCTGTGTTCATGTGGAAGTAGGAAAATGCAAAAAGCCAAAAGCCATTCCGTCGACAGCTATGAGTATATATAAAATATAAAACAGGATTGAGAATGATAATGATATTTGGGCCTGAGTAATTTAAATTTAGTAGTGTTTGGGCCTTGATGCAGTCCAAATATGAATCAAAAAACCAGGCTGGATAATCCATAAAAGCGCAAATGGGCTTCACATTGTTAACAGTTGCACTTTCTTTTTGGGCCATTTTGCCCTTTTAAGCATCAAAAATTTTTTTGTTCCTTTTCTTTCTTTTTACTTCTGTTTTTTTTTTTCGAGTGGAGTTTCTTTCTACTTCTAAGATTTACTTAAAAACAATATTGTTACAGTTCCCATAAACTTTGATTATTACTTAATTTGCTCTTTGCGTTTTATTTTGACATTTTAAGAATTAAGTATTTTTATACCTGAAATTAAAACATAAAAAAGCTGGACATTTTTTTTATAAATTTTTACCAAAAACATATATTTACGAATAAAACACAATATTATAATATGCATACAACATAAAAAAAATATTTAGTATTGTGCATACTTTTATTTTATTAAATTTTTGCTTAGTGATTTTTTAGTTGTACATACATAATTATTATATATTTTTCTACAAAATATTAATTTGTTGAAAATTATAAAATACCTATTATTATATCCTTAAAGAATTGCATAATTTCTTATTTATTTTTTCTTTATTTAATTTATTTCACTTAGTCTTCATTATGTGTATACATATATTTATATACAAAGAGAGAAAAATATCATTTTCTATTCCCAATTTATAAAATTCTAGTACCTAAAATACTTTTAGCAAATATTATAATGCTATACTTATTATTTACAATTATATCTTTAAATACTAAATTTTCTTATTTCTTCAACTCGAGTCTAAAATTTTCAGACTCGTTAATTTTTGAGTTAAGCTAAATTCTATCGAATCAATTTTCGAGTTTTGATTTATGTTGTTTATATCTATAACGGTAACAACAGATATTAGAATGCCCATCCAATAGAAAAATCTGACATAGATATGGAAGCCCCACTTAAAGCCAACTAATAGAAATTGGAATTGGATTGGGACCCATCTAGTATTTTTGGATTTATCTGCCTAAAAATTTTCTAGTGGATCAATCATGTTGACCTAAAAATTTATCCCCTTGACTAAAAATATTTTTATTTTCACTAATTAATATATTAACCTTTCCACTTACCTTAACAAACCAATCTTAATCACATTTCTCTTTATGTGGTGGCAAAGAAGAAACAAAGCTTAAACATATGTCACCACCAAATTAAGCAAGCATTAGCATATCTTAATTCTAGCCCATTCTTTATTTACCAATATGTCCTAATTTTGCTTTACAAATCTTAATATGCATAATTACTATAAAGGGTAAGATGGTATAAAGGGAAGTAATTTAGAAGAACCATCTATGGAAGTGGCCCCTTAGCTCTTAAAATTTTTAGTCCTTTTAGAAAATATGGATGCTTCTCAAGGGACACTACCAATCTCTCTACCAAAAGGATCTCTTATAGGATCTTACATAAGGACTCTTTCAATCTTCATTGCATTGATACGTATAAGGTATAGTTCCTTTGAATTCCAATTTAGTGTCGGCAAGGACAATTGAATTTTATATTTTTTTTTTCATTTTGTTTTATTTGTATGTTATTTTATTTTATTTTTAATTAGTGGGAAGACCTAATTGAATTTTCTCTATTTCCTAATTGGGATTTTTTTGATGCTTTTTTCAATCATTTAAATGCTTTTTTAACAAATGGATGATTCCAATCATGTCGGATCTATTTGCTTGTGCTAAGCATCCAATGTGTGACTATTAAAAGAGTGATCTAAAAAGTAATTACAAAGTGACAATACGAAGTGGTGGTCTGGTTGGTCTTATGTAAGGAGTGGAAGGTCTCGAGTTTGAGTCATCTCAACCACGATTGTTTTCATCAATTTGATAAACAAAAAAAAAAGTAGTTATAAAGTGAGAATAAAAAGAAAATGGCCAATTTTTTTTTTAAATATCATATTTCTAATAATGTATTTTATTTTTATTCATATTCTATTTTCTTTTCTAATTTTCAATTCAATTTTTGTGAATGGTTATGGAATATGATCACAATTAGTGTTGGATATATTCTAAACTTATCTATTTAATACATTGTATAACTACTTTTTGGATTATTCATGTACCTTTTTGATATTGTCCATAAATATTTTTATGAAAATTTATTTTCTATTTGGATAATCGATATTACTTTTTCTTTTTGTACTTAATGGATGTCACATTTAATCAACAATAATTATCATTAATAAATGATTCCCATCCCATCATTGATTAATTAATGCTTTTGAATTTTTTTTTATCATACATTAGATTGGATATATTTTCTTCGTATCAATTTATTTACATGATTTGACAAAACACGTCATATATTGTTACCGACGTTTTCAGGGAAACCCTTTTCCAACCAAAGAGAGACAATAACAAGTAGCTTTTTTAGTTAATTTTTCATCTTTCAAAAGCCAATAATGAAGCATCCATAGTTGGATTCCATTTTAAGATTAATTTAAGCATTATGAGTGCATAATCACTTGTCCTCATATTAACAAATTTTGTTAGATGTGACCTTTTTTTTTTTGTGCCCTTTAATTATTTAATAGAGACACAAGCATAATCATTTTATTCAATAATTCATAGCAATGAATAATATAATTAACTTCAATTATCAATTATGCATTTTGTCCATTACAATAATTATCATTCTTATCCCATTTGAGTCCCATATCTTGTCTTGGTCTTTTATGGTTTTCATCAATTCATAAAATATAATAAAATTTTAATTATATATCTAAAGCCTTAATTCTAAATCCTTTTCTTTACCCAAATTTTTTTAAAAAAAAAATTGCATACTTTTTTTTTTTTTTTATCAAAATCAAGTTCATAAAATAATAAATAAAATTTTAATTATTATCTAAAAGCCTTAATTCTAATCCTTTTCTTTACCCAAATTTTTTTAAAAAAAAAAATTTGCATACTTTTATTTTTTTTTTTAATTGGAAGGTTCTAATGGGCTGAATATACACTCACAACAGGGGTAACTCCTCTCTTGCATCACTTAAATTTGGTGGAAAGAACACTTATGGTCGAGATATTCGAACTTAGAGACTTTACATAAATGAGAAAAATAATCAGGATTCACCTAACTCAAATTATTTTATTCGTCAAAATCATTACATGCTTTTAATAATCATTGGAAGTGAGAAAAAATTTAATTAGGGTAAACTATAAAAACTATTTTTAAAATATTTCCAACAGGTCAAAATAATTAATAAAATAATTAAAAAAATAAAATAATATAATTTAAATTATTAGTAATATAAATAATATTAAACACACAACGTATACCTTCGTAATGCGTTGCATAAATAATAAAAATTTCCAATAAAAAAATTATCCGTAACACAATATGTCACTTGTAGGACGACTTAAAAAACCTGGTCGCGCCCAAATGGGTCCAATTTTTGAAAAATTTTAACCCCATGCCTTCGCGAGATCTCATCTTTCCCTGGCCGACACAACGAGGCATAGGCGACCAGCATCTTATGGGTTTGTCCTTTTTGGTCCGCAATCCCGGATCTCGTCTAATATTGGGATTTGGGACACAATCCATCGAAATTTGATTCAAATCAAAAATAGATTTAAAGAAAATAATCAAATCCAGACTTAAAATCAATTTTTGGAGTTTTCGATTTAAAACTAAATCAAAAATCGAAACCGGGAACCAAAATGACAAGCCATTTATCATACCAAATTAATTGAATCAAAACCGAAGCTGTTGAGAAATGTAAAAACCAATTTTTTTCAGTTTTCCTACAAAATTAAACTGTATTATTATTATTTGTTTTAGCTCACACGCGGCAGCTTACGAAATATAACCATCTGAATTATAATAATGGTCCCTCTTAAAAATGGAAAGTAGAAGTCATAAAATGGTGGCTGAAGGACCAATAATGAAGTTCAATCTTCTGAGATGAAGTGTGATTGATTGTATATGTCTATTTTCAAAATCAATTACTATTTTGAAATCAATAGTTTGGGAATTCAATGAAGTTAAACTAATGATCCTATTATATGTTCTAATAAGGATGTTATTAACCTAACAAATTAAATCACATATGAATTGGATTTCTCGTGGCTATTCGAAACTAATTCAAAAAGTCCATGAATATTTTATAAGTTTAATGAACTAAATTTAAACTATTTTACAGGTCAAGATTTTAATTTAATTTTTCAAACCAAAATATACTGTTTTATAGACTCGAATTTAAACTAACAAAATCAATAAATCTCAGTTGACATACCATAACTGATTGAAATATTATCGTTAAATCAAACCGGTATTTTAAGAAGCACATGAGAGTTGAATGTTAATATTGGGTCACAAATAAATCAACTTAAAA